TAATTTTTTACAACTATAAACAATATATAAAATATATTAGTTATACAATAATTTCTAGTTTTAATATATTAATTAAATTAATTTATTAAAAAATAAAATAAAATCTAAAAATCTAGAAAAAATTAAATAACCATGGACGTTATTGAACCCAGTGTATTTGCTAGACAAAAAAGTAATGGCCAAATAATAACAATGCAATCAATTGAAATTATAAACGGGTTGAACAAGTAATTATAAGTTATTATTTTTATTTTTTAAAAAATTTTTAATTAAAAAAAACTAATAAATATATTTTTTAAAATTATAATTTACATTTTGTTTGTTTGTTAATTAATTTAATATCAATTCAATTAACATTATAAACTAGTATATAACAAGTACGTTATATAAGTTTATAATTTATTTGTTTGTTTGTTTGTTTGTTTGTTTTAACTAATAATAAATTTTTTGGATTTTTGTTTAAATAAAAAAATTAAATATATAATTATATATAAAAATAAAATAATAATTTTTTTTCTTTGTTTGTTTGTTTGTAATTAATTAATTAATTAACAGATCATACGATCTGATTGTTGACGTCGGTTGCGGTGACGGGGATGTTAGCAAAAATTTTTTAGGCAAACATATACCCCATAAACAGATAGTGGCCATTGATTGCTTACCCGATATGCTTGGCTATGCCCGCATCCATAACAGTGATGACCAAATTGAATATGTATTGCAAGATATGGGTCAGAAATGGCCGGATATGAGTCCCCGGGTTAGGGAATTGGAGTCGAAAGTGGATCTAATATTTTCTAATCTAGCCCTAGCATATATACCCGATAAACGGCAATTGGTGGACACTTTTGGCCGATTGTTGTCCACGGGCGGTGTATTTCATGCTAATATCGAACTAATGGAAGATATTAACAAACGATTGGCCAGTTATGGTCGACCGCCGCCGAAACAACAATGGTATCAATCGCCCGAAAAACAGTTAGACGTTTGGCGTCAAAGTCTATCATCGGATAATCAGTTTCTCGTTAAACAGTTAGAGATTATGGATGTCTGTTGGCCTACGGATAGACAGAAAATGATTGGTTTGTCTTTTGTTTGTTTGTTTTTAAGGCGTGGTTCACATATTATGTTCGCAGTTGAGGGGTGGGAGGGAGGGGGTGGGGGTTAGCCAAAGCGAACTTTTGCGAACGAGGAAGGAGGGGAGGGGGGGTTAGCCAAAGCAAATTTTGGCAAACGAGAGGGAGGGGAGGTGTAGTAGAAACTTTAAGAACGTTTGCATTTTGATATTATATTTCTTGTAGGTGAGGGGAGGGGGGTTAGCCAAAGCGAAATTTTGCTAATAAGAGGGGATAGAGGGGGGGGGGGTGTAGTAGAAACTTTAAGAACGTTCGCATTTAGATATTATTTTATTTCTTGTAGGTGAGTGGGAGAGGGGGGTGGGTAGCGGTTAGAGACATGCGAACGTATAATTTTTTTTTAAATAAATAATTACATGCGAACAATTGCAAATATAGGAGAGGGAGGGGGGTCTAGATTTAACTTAAAAAGTGCGAACGTAATATGTGAACCACACGCCTTAGTACTTTTTTTTAAAAAAAAAATTACAAATAAAATCAAATATTTATTTTACATTTTTTTAAATTATAATTTTTAAAACTTTTTTAATTTTATTTACTATTATTATATTTATTAGACTTTATGCCAATCGTTATATCAAAGTATAGACAGTTTTTTACTGATCGTAAAGATTTTGATAACGAATTCAACGATCACTTATGGGATACGGCTTTCGATGCGTTGGTCAACCCGACGGCCGACACACCCAACCCCAGGGCGTGGCAACAGTTTTTGGCCGACACTAACATTAAGGAAGTCAAACGTTACCATAAATTGCTGAGAATAACTGCTATTAAACAATAAATATTATTAATTAATATTATTGTTATTATTAATTTGTTATTTTAATTATGAAAATAATTTTGTATAATTTTTTTTTTAAATTTTAATTAACAAATTAATTATATATTAAACAATTTATTCAAATAAAAAACTTCTAATAAATAAAGTATAGATTATTTTATCATGTTAATACTAAAATAGTACGTATCTGAATTCTATATGTTTGTCTGTACTAAAAATTTTAAAAAAAAATGATTTCAGATTTTTTGATAAAACATTAAAAAATGAGTTCAAATCATTATAAATGAGTTTTGATAAATCATAAGTAACATAAAGAAAATGGCGTCCAAAAATTAGTAAAAAAAATAGTTTAGAAAATGGAAAATATTTTTTTTTTAATTATTTTATTAATTTAAACTGTTTAAACAACAAAATTAACATGTTAAAATGCTTATTTATAAATACTAATATTATATAGATTAAACAAAGAGTCAGACAAAAGTTGTTTATTTTGTCATTACTGAATCATTTGATACCCTACATGACTAAAGTTGAGTATATATTTTATTCATACTAAATCATTATATTTTAATTTAATTTTTACTTTGCATAGCTTTCTAGCATTCTCAACTGGTTTTAAATATATTACTCGAATTTTTTACTAATAAAATAATTTACAATTTACTTAATTAATCTCAATTTATTTTTTTTTTGTATTTAATATTTATATAAGATATTTACATATGAATAGTAAATTGTTATTTAGTTTTTTTTTTAATAATTTACTATTTAATAAAATGTTTTGTCTTAATAATATTAATTATATATATATATATATATATAAAATTTATATATATTATAAAACACTAAATAGATTTGTTAAATAAATATAAACTTTATTTTTTAGTACATGAGATGACATACATACATATAATACTGTATGTAATTTTTTACTTATAATAATATGATAATTAAAAATTTTGATTTATCATTATAAAATAAAACTAGAACTTATATATTTCATAATATATTATTTTATATAATATTTTTAATATAATATTTTTAATATAATATTTTTAATATAATATTTTTTATATAATATTTTTTATATAATATTTTTAATATAATATTTTATATAATATTTTTCATATAATATTTTTTTATATGATATTTTATTCTACAAAAAAAATCAATTTTAAGTTTTGACTTTATTTTGTAAAATATATTTTTTTTTTATTTAAACTAAATTTATATAATAATAATGTATTCAACAACACTGTTAGTTAGATTATATATGGTCTATACAATCATATGGCAGCGCCAGCAACGGCACAACTATATGGCCAATCGTACACCCGTACCGACAAAACAGTCATACGATTATATAGTAGTCGGAGGCGGTAGTGCCGGTGCTATAGTAGCCTGTCGTCTATCCCAATGGTTTGACCAGTCGTTTAATAGTACGCTAACCAGTAATGTACTGTTGCTCGAGTCGGGCGGCGCACCCGATGCCCTGTTCGACGATATACCGGCACTGGGATTGCCGTATATGTCGTTGCATACATCAAGCTACAGGTTTGTCACTATTGAACCACAGAAACATGTCGGACACTCCTATCCGAACAATGGCCGTGAAGTGGAAGTATGGGGACGTGTTTTAGGTGGTTCCTCAACAGTCAACGGTATGGGCTATAATAGGTATACTATTATTTATTTATTTATTTTTTTGTGTGTTAATACTAATATTTATTTATTGTTTCATTTATTTATTTTTGTTGTTGTTGTTGTTTCAATTACATTAACAACGAAAACCATAATAATATAAAATATATATTTATATATATATTTTTTTAAATAAAAAAATTTTACTTAAATTACTTTTTTAAAAAAAATTTCCAATTAATTAGAGGTAATCCTAAATACTATGATTAGGGTTAGATCAGATTCCCTCCCTCGTCTTATATTCCATAAGTTCCTTATATTCCCTGTTCCCTGGGAATTCTCTGGGAAGACATTTCCTTGTGGTACCACCTATCGTACCATAACTCACATTACATAATGTTTAATTAAAAACACGTTTGTATAGTAAATGACTACAAAATGTATTTAATGTTTTTACTAAATGTTTAATAATATTTGAATCATATTTTGATTGAGTTATTACTAACATACTGGTCCCAATTGAAACACATAGTCATTGAGATTAGGTACTTTATAATGTATGACAAATTATATTTTCCCTTTCTAACGATCAAGGGAGGGAATATAATATATTTTCCATATTTTCCGGGAAAATTGGAGGGATTTTATTTGGGAACTTCCCTCCCTGGGAATCTCAATCTAACCCTAACTATGATAGTATGAATAGCTATTAATAGGTATACTTTTTTTTTAATTATTTTTTTCATTTATTTTTCTTATATATTTAATTACATTGACAACGATATAACAAAAATAGAAAACATATATTTAATTATATTTTTTTTAAATAAAAAAAAATTTACTTAAATTTCTAAATAAAATTATTTATTTTTTTTTTCAATTAATTTAGAGGTAATCGTAAATACTATGATAGTATAGTCGAAAAATACGGGGCCATTGGCTGGGATTATTCAAGTGTATTGCCAGTATTCAAACTAATGGAAAACAATACCGATCCCCGGGTTAGCGATGACTATCATGGACGGGATGGACCCGTAGGTGTGTCGACACCCGAACTATTGGATCCAATATTTCTTAAACAATCGCAAATAGTTCAAAGTGAATGGGGTTTACAGTTGATTGATATTAACGGTTCAAATCAATCGGGGTTTGCTATCGGCCAGTTTACTTATGCACAGGGAATCCGATCATCAACCAATAGTGCATATCTGGAAAATACAAAATTGTGTCCAAATTTGACTATAGTTACCGGTGCACTGGTATCTAAAGTAATTATTGATGATAATAAAACTACTACTACTACTACTACTACTAATGCTGATGATGGCATCGGCAGCAGCCGTTGGCGGGCACTGGGAGTTGAGTTTTCCAAACAAAATCAAACGTTTCGTGTTATGGCAAACAAAGAGGTTATACTATCGGCAGGTTGTTGTTGTTGTTGTCTATTATAAAATTCAATTTCCTATTACTACTACCGCTACTACCGCTACTACCGCTACTACCGCTACTACCGCTACTACCGCTACTACCGCTACTACCGCTACTACCGCTACTACCGCTACTACCGCTACTACCGCTACTACCGCTACTACCGCTACTACCACTACTACTAATTTCTAACTAAATATATTATTATTAATTAATTAATTTTATTGCTTTAATCCATAGGTCCGATATCCAGTCCGCAGATACTAATGCTATCGGGTGTGGGACCAGTCAAACATTTAAACGACATGTCCATCAATAAGGTCTACTCGGATCTGCCGGTCGGCGATAACTATTGCAATCATATTGTTGTCCGACTGGACTTTCCCATACTTTTACCATCATTAGTACAGCCAGTACTATCCATAGATAATAGTACACAATTAATTGAGTCGACACTATGGGGACAGGGAGCTATGGCTCAGACCCTATCGACTATAACATATTTATCAAGCAAACACAATCCGGATCCTAATTATCCGGATATAAATTTGCTGACTAAAGCCAATAGTAAGTCAACTACTCGACCATCTATGCAGTCGTCATATATGCCTAAACAGTATATGTCTAACCATACGTCCATTGAATTGCACCGGCAGTTAGCTAACTATTCAGCTGAACTACAGTCACTATCCGGCGATTATCTAACAATATTTGCTGGACTAATGCGACCGAAAAGTTGCGGTACTATTAGATTGAAAACCCTAAACATTTCAGATCAACCTATAATTGATTCACAATTTCTATCGAATCCTATCGACAAATATCGGCTCCGGGAGGCTATTCAGGAAGCATTTCGTTTAGTCGAAACAACCAGTTTCTCCGAATACGTCCAAATCAGTCGCCTACCCGTACCACCATGTAGTTACTGTCCTAGTGGTCCTGTCTACCAGTGTATCAGTTATCTGGATTGTCTGATCTATAACTGGGCCTACAATCAGTATCATCCGGTCGGCACCTGTCGTATGGGTGACCAGAACCGATCGGATACGGTAGTCGATCCGCGATTGCGTGTCATAGGTGTCCGCGGGTTGCGTGTAGTCGACTCGTCCGTCTATCCCGACATTATGAACGGCAATACAGCGGCGGCCGCTTTGTTGGCCGGAGAGATGGGCGCCCGACTCATACATGAAGATAATACTATTGATGACAACAATCAATACAAACAACTTAACGATAATAATAATATTGATATTAATAATAATACTATTAGTAATACAGCTATTTATACTCAAATAAGTTTATTAATAATTATAATATCTATAATTAATTGTATTTATTATTATTTATGAATTATTATTATTTAATTATTTTTGTTTTTTGTTTTTTATATAAAAAATAATTAATTTAATTTTTATTAATAAACAGTAGTTAAAAAACTAAATAAGCAATTTTTTTGTTTAAAGATAATAATATTGATATTAATAATAATATCAATAATACTGTTATTAGTAATACAGCTATTTCTACACAAATAAGTTTAATTAAAATATCTATAAATTTAATTAATTGTATTTATTATTATTTATGAATCATTTATTTATTTATTGATTTTGTTTAATTCAAGAAATTATAATTAGTTTTTTATATATAAAAAAAATAATTAATTTAAATTTTATTAATAAACAGTAGTTGAAAAACACAAGCAATTTTTTTTAATATATACAAAATTGAAATTTGTATTATTATTATTATTTTTTTTAGAAATAAAACTTTTTAACAAATTTTTTCTATTTTGAAAAAACCAATGGTTTGTAGGACAACCCCTTATATCATATATATATATATATATTATGAAACCTAACCTATAGTAATCTCAAAAGTATTTATTTTATATATATATAATAAAAAACACTCAAAAAACTTTTCTATATATTATTAGATTATAAGTTTTTTTTGTGAAATACATTTTTGCTTTATTTAGTGTTTATAGTTTTTTTTAAAATAAAAACTTAAAATTAATTAATATATTATATTTCTATAGATTAGATGTCATAATATATATATATATATATACAGATTTGACTTATGGGGATGTCCTACAAACCATTTGTCTTTTTTAAAATAATAGTTTTTAAATTTCTAAAAAAATAATTAAAAAATTTCAATATTGTATATTAAAAAATGCTAGTGTTTTAAATACTGTTTATTTATTAAATTAAATTAAATTTATCTAAAAAACTTACAAATTCTTGAATAAAACCAAATAAATATAAAATAATATAAATAATCATAAAAATAATTAAAAATCATAACTAAATTTAATATATATATATATATATATATATATATATATATATATATATATATATATATATATAACATATAAAACATATATATTATACTTTCTATTTTTGTTGGAATTTCTAAAAAAAAATTTTACTAAAAGATTTTTTTACCCAAATTTTTTTAATTAATTAATTTATTTATTGTTTAATAGCCATCAATTGCAATACTACTCGATGACAGTTGACTTTCGTAATAGTAGTGTCGGCTAAAAACTGTTGCCAAGCCCTGGGATTGGGTTCGTTAGCCGTCGGGTTAGTGGTGGCATCGAATACTGTGTCCCATAAGTGGTCATTGAGTTCCGAATCAAAGTCCGATTGGTTAGTAAATTGTGACCGAAAACTGTTGACCATAACAGGCATAAAACCTATAGAAAAATAAATGATATTTATATATATATATATAGTAAAAAAATAATAACCAATTTTAACAATATAAATTTACGAAATAATACTAATAATAATACTAATAATAATACTAATAATAATATTAATAATAATACAAATAAACCTAACCTAACCTAACCTAACCTAACCTAACCTAATAATAATAATTAATATTTTTTTTATTATAATTAAAAATGAACCTATAATTGTTTTCCTATCCATTGGCCAAACGGTATCCAAAATTTTGAATTGTTTTATTGAAAATAATTGATTATCACTTGATGTTAGACATTGTTTCCAATTAGCAATTTGTTCAGCAATTGTTTGATACCATTGTTTTGGACCATTAATTGATAGCTTTTTGTTTAGATCGTTATACAAAAATATATTAGCATAGACTGTACCGCCAGTGGCCAGTAGTCTATCAAATATTTGCATCAATTTTTGCTTATCCGGTATATATTGTAGGGCATAGTTTGAAAAAATCAGATCAACCCTAGACTCCAATTGTCTGATCCGGGGACACATCGCTGGCCAATCGACACTCATATCTTGTACGACATATTCAATGATACGGTTGTTGTTGTCGTGTTTATCGTCAATCATTAGGCTATTATGTTTGCGGGCATAGCTTATCATATCGGTTACGCAATCGATACCAATGAGCTGGTTATGCGCTAATTGATTGGCCAACAATTTGGTTAGACTACCGTCACCGCAACCAATGTCAACAATTATATCATAGGATCTATAATTATGACCCAAAAAAAACATTAAATTAAATTTATATTATATAATAATTTTTATAATGTTGAGTTTAATAATTTCTATATAAATATATATATTTAATATTTTAATATATATATATATATATATATAGTATATACTAACCTGTTTTTTAATTGATTAATTGAATCGTTGCTAATATTATGTGTAACTGGACTTATTAATGAATAATTTAATTGAGTTATTTGATTCATTATTTTTAAGAAAATTTTATAAAATAAATTAATAAATCTATTATTTTTTGTTTAATAGATTAAAAATAAAATAAAATTATTTTATTAGTAATTATAGTTATAGTATAAAAAAAATATATACAGTTAGTTGTATGTTTGATGGACTAAAAAAAATTAAAATTATTGTTTATTATTTTAATACTAGATTTAATAATGTTTTTAATAGTAATAATATATATATATATATATATATATATATATATATATATATATATATTTAAAAATCTAATTCTAGTCATTGACTGTGTCAATCAGTGGGTATTGTAATAATAATTGAAATAAAAATTTAATTACTTTAAATTTTTCCTACTATTTTCATCCATCATAACAAAAACATAAAATTTTTAATAATAATAAAAATAATATATTATTTTTTAGTAATACTTGTTTTTATAATATTTATATATAGATATATATGATATAAGATATTTAGTTATCATATTTGTGGAGTATCAACTTATTCAGTATAACAAAATAAACTTAACAATTGACATGTGGAATATCATATGAATCAGTATAGCAAAATAAACTCAACCATAGACATGTGGGGTATCAAATAATTCAGTAAAACATAATAAAATCAACCACTGGTATATGGGGTATCAAACGATTCAGTATAACAAAATAACTTTAACCATACTCATGTGTGGTATCAAATGAATCAGTATAACAAAATAACTTCAACCATAGACATGTGTGGTATCAAATGAATCAGTATGACTAAATATACATTTTTTTACATTTTTGCCGCCATTTTTTCTATTATCTATTATATCTTCATTTTGATGATCAATATAATTCTTAAGATTAAATTTTTTACCTAAAATTTTTTTACGTTGGTCTCCATTTTTGTCTCTATGTTTACGAATAAAATATCAAAATTAGAATGCTAATTTTTAATGCCAGTTTTTGATGCTTTATTAAAATCTATACCGGACAGACAGACAGACAGACAGACAGACAGACAGACAGACAGACAGACTTATAGAATTCATATAATTACTTGTTTCAGGAGTTTCGAGAATATTAGAGTTAAACTATTAAAATATTTTCTGTATATAAACTTTATTATATATTTATCCTAAAACAAGTTTCACCTAACAACAACAAAAAAATAATATATATTTTTATAGATTTAATAAAAAATATATATGCTTTTTTTGTTGTGACGTTAGTAGAAAAATATTAAAAAAAAAATTAAAAGTAAAAGTTTTTAAATTATTCCTACAATACTCTCACTGATTGCGTACATGTAATGACTAGTATTATAGTTTAATATATATATATATATATATATTATTACTATTATAACTTTATTAAATCTAGTTTTTAAATGGTTCACATATTACGTTCGCACTTTTTAAGTTAAATCTAGACCCCCCTCCCTCCCCTATATTGGCAATTGTTAGCCTATGTAGTCATTTAAAAAAATAAAAAATAATAATTGGCCGAAGAGTTGGGCGCCCGACTCATACAAACAATCAATCAATACAAACAACTTAACGATAATAATACTAATAATATCAATAATACTATTAGTAATACTGCTATTTCTACTACAAATAGTTGTATAATAATTATAATTAATATATACCGTATCTATAATTAATTGTATTTATTATTATTTATAAATTATTTATTTATTGATTTTTGTTTAATTAAAGAATTTGTAATTTTTTTATATTAAAAAAAATAATTAATTTAATTAATAAACAGTAGTTAAAAACACAAGCAATTTTTTTTTAATATATACAATATTGAAATTATTATTATTATTATTATTTTTTGGAAATAAAATTTTTTAACTATTTTTTCTATTTTGAAAAAAACCAATGGTTTGTTGGACAACCCTTTATGTCAAATATATATATATATATATATATAGCTTAGGTGTTATAATATATATATATATATATATATATATATATATACATATATATTATGGCACCTAAGCTATAGTAATATCAAAAGTATTTTTTTAAAATAAAAAACATTCAAAAAAATTTTGTATATATTAGTTGATTATAAGTTGTTTTTTAAATAGTGTTTATAGTGTTAAAAAAAGCTTAAAATTAATTAATTAAAAATTAAAAAATAAAACAACTAATGAAATGTTAACATTTTTTACGTTATTTTACTGTTATTTTTGCAAATTTATTAATATTTTATACTTTATTTTTGATTAATAATATATCTCTGATCTATGATATAATAATGACATTTATTTGTTCCCATAAATGCTTTACTTTACTTTTAATTTTTTTTAAAATTTAATATATGCATAAATATTTTTGAAAAAAAATATTACACTCAAAAAAAACTTAAATATAAGTCAATATATATATATATAGTATATAATTATATTTATGATAAAATTCAAAATAACCTAAATTTTTAGAGGAAATATTATTTATTTAATGATTCATCATGTTTTATTAAATTAAATATATAAAATAAAAAAAATATATTAATAATGATATTATTTTTTCATTATATAACTTAACTGACTATACTTTTATATAAATATTTATATTTTATTTTCAATAAACTTTATATATTAATAATTTGTGTGATTAATATGTTTGAACATATATGCACTGATAAGTTATGGGTAATTATAAAAATTATATTTTACTTAATAAATATTATATATACTATACTACTATTTAGGAACCAGTATTATCATGGAATACAACATCACCGCAACTGAGCTCATGTATGCTAAACACATGGTTTGTATGGATTCCCTGTATATTCTTGTTGTTATACATACCGAACCTCATGTGGAAATGTTATGACAACAACAACAACAATGCAAATACAATTCAATGGAACTATTATAATGTCAGCCGATTATCGGTTTGTTTGCTAAGCACTGGTATACTAATAGTGGAACTGGTGTTCAGCTTATATCGTAAATATCAATGGATGGATAGTCCCAGTACTGCATACATACTAGGGCTGGGCATACAATCAATGGCCAGATTACTACTATGTCTAGTGTTTAACTATCAACGTTTGTACGGCATTATTACTAGTGGACTGATTTGGTTATACCTATTGTTGGACACTATTTTCGGTGCCGTTTCTGTGGCCAACTATACTATCAATCATCATATGTTATACAACTATGAATTCATATTGTTTTGTATTAATTATTTGCTAACATTATTACTACTAATCTATTGTCAATTTGCTGACCGCTTGAATACAAACGGGTTATACATTTGTAACAACATGTGTCCCATAGAGAGGGCATCATCTATATCGAGGCTAACCTATCACTGGATGACCAGTTTGTTTGTCCGAAACTGGAAAAATACAATCGATTTTAATAGTCTATGGATTTTAAAAACTGAATTCAGATCATTCATAAACTTTAATTGTAAATATAATTTTTATTTATTTTTAAAATATAAAAAATTATTAACTTATATATAATAATAATAATAGAAATAATAATAATAGGAATAATAATAATAATAAAATTATAATATTGTTTTTTTTTGTTTTTTTTTTATAAATAGATTGTTTTGGATCAAATAGTTTTAGTATAGATAATAATACTAAAAATAATAATAATAATAATAATAAAACAATAAACATATTAGTTATAATGTTACGTAAATTTAGTTTACAATATATAATGCTATGGTTTGTATGTTTTCTATCGATTGGACTAAAATTGTGTCAACCATTGGTGGTCAGGTATGTAATAATATTGATAATGTGGTAATTGTTTTAATATATTTATAATATATATATATATATATATATGTATGTATATTATTATAGATTGCTAATAACCTATGCTGATATAGAGGATGAGCCTACATGGCACGGTTATGTCTATACAGTATTACTATTGATTATCAATATAGTATCCGGTATATTGAATGCTTATTATATACAGGCTATCAAATGTTTAGGTATATTAAGATTTTTTTTTAATTAAAAAATAATAATAAAATAATCAATAATTCTAATCTTTTAAAAAAATCTTAAAAATAAAATATTATTACAACTTTAATAATTTTTAGCCATAAAAATCACATCATCGGTAATGTCGGCCGTCTATCGCAAGTCACTGGTGTTGAGTAACGGTGCCAAACGTCAGACCAGTTATGGCGACATAACTAACCTAATGGCTGTCGACTGTCAACGGATTAATGGTTTTTTTTTAATATATATATATATAAATATATTATACTATTATTATTATTATTATTATTATTATTATTATTATTATTATTATTATTATTATTATTATTATTATTATTATTATTATTATTATTATTATTTATTTATTTATTTAGTATAAAAAAAATTATTTTGTTAAAATCAAATCAGTATTACAAGTGATGGGATATATATATATATTAGTATATATATACATATATATGTATATATAATTGTGTCTATATATATATGTATATTATAAGCAAAAATAATATACACATAATATATATATATATATACCAGTACTTGCAATACTGTATAAAAATATATATAAAAAAATTTAAAAAACAAAAAAAACATTAGAAAACTTTCATTGGTTGGCATACATATTGGTCATACCGTTACAAATATTAATAACAACCGGCCTATTGTATACTGAATTTGGTTTGTCATCGCTGGCCGTTTTAGTTGTCATACTAATCATACTATTTGTTCAAACGGTTGTCACAAAAATTGCTGTCAAAGTGGGAACCAATCAATTAAAACATACCGACAATAGAATCGGTTTTACCAATGAAATACTTAATGGCATTAAAATACTTAAAGTTAGTAATAATAATAAAAATAATAATTTTAATTTCCATAATAATAATAAATATTATAGAAATAATAACAACAATTATTATAGAAATAATAACAACAATTATTATAGAAATAATAACAACAATTATTATAGAAACAAAAAAAACAATTATTAAATTTGTAATTAAAAATAATAATCATAATAATAGTAAATTATTATTATTATTATTATAGAAATTAAAATTATTATTATTATTTCTATAATTATTATTATTATGGAAATTAAAATTATTATTATTATTTCTATAATTATTATTATTATTTCTATAATTATTATTATTATTTCTATAATTATTATTATTATTTCTATAATTATTATTATTATTTCTATAATTATTATTAAAATAGAAATAATAATAATAATTTATATTTACAAAATAATAATTTTTATTTCCATAATAATAATAATAATTTTAATTTAATATTATTATAGTTATATGGATGGGAAATACCGTTTATTAAATCGATAGGAAAATTACGATCAATTGAATTAATCAAAATCAAACAATTGTATTATGTGTTTGCCATTTTAAATATCATATCCTATATGTCACCCATGTTATGCCATTTGATTATATTTATACTGTATTTATGTCTAAATTTTGGCCAACAATTAAGTGCTGAAAAAATATTTTTTTCCATATCATTGATATCGATGCTCAAAGAGATTATATCAAAATTATCATACGTTTATCATACAGCAGGAATTGTAAGTAAATAATAATATATTTAATTGTTATTACATTATAAATTATTTATAATTATTTAATTAGTTTTAATTAACTAAAAATAATTTATATACATAATGTAATAACAACTATTGATATTACATGTTAATTATAATATCACTATATTAACTATATTTCTAATTTATTAATTAATAAATTATTGTAATTAATTATTTTTTATTAGTTAATTAATTATTTATTAATAAATTATTATTTATTTATTAATTAATTAATTATTAATTAATTAATTAATTAATTAATTAATTATTTATTAATTAATTAATTATTTTTTATTAATTAATTAATTATTTATTAATAAATTATTATTTATTAATTAATTAATATTTATTAATTAATTAATATTTATTAATTAATTAATATTTATTAATTAATTAATATTTATTAATTAATTAATATTTATTAATTAATTATTATTTATTAATTAATTATTATTTATTAATTAATTATTATTTATTAATTAATTATTATTTATTAATTAATTATTATTTATTAATTAATTATTTTTTTTATTAATTAATTAATTTATTTATTTTTTTTATAGATATACGTATCATTTAAACGTTTTGATTTATTTCTCAATTTGAATGAACACTACAACTATGTAATCCATAGTAATAATAATAATAATGATAATAAAAATAATAACAATAATATTATTGATATAAATGGGGCAACATTTTTATGGGACACACATAATAATACTAATACTAATATTCAAACCATTGGTGACGATGACGATAATGAAAATGATTATACATTAAATCAAATTGATTTGCATATCCGTGAGGGTATGTTTGTGGCCATAGTAGGCGATGTCGGCTCCGGCAAGAGTTCACTGTTGTCGGCCATTATCGGCGATATAAAGCTGATTGAGGGGACAGTCAATGTTAGATCGGGTGTTCAGATGGCATACGTTCCACAACAGGCTTGGATACAGAATGCAACCATCAAACAGAATATTATGTTTGGAAAGCCGTTCGATGAGGAACTGTATGATAAGGTTATAGACTGTTGTGCCCTTAGACCAGATATTAGGCAACTAAGCGGCGGAAACAATACAGAAATCGGTGAAAAAGGTGTAACACTTAGTGGCGGTCAAAAACAAAGAGTCAGTTTAGGCCGAGCCGTCTATTCCGGTGCCGATCTATACCTACTCGACGATCCACTTTCTGCAGGTATTGTTGACGAAAAATTGTTTTATATATTAATTTAAAATTAATATAATTTTTTTTATTTAATCTATATATATATAGTGGACAGTCATGTGGGCAAACAATTGATGAGTGATGTATTGGATACAAAAACAGGTATATTGGGTTCAAAAACCCGATTGTTGGTCACAAATCAATTGTTTATGTTAGCCGATTGCGATCTAATAGTTGTCCTGAAAGCGGGTAAAATAGTATCGACCGGTAATTATCAACAGTTATTAAGTGATTGTAATTATTTTCAACAATTAATTAAACAATATTTTAGTGATCATCGGATGACTACTACTGGTAGTAGTAGTAGTAATGATGATAACAATAGACAATTAGTGACAACAGTGTCGCCTATATATGATAATGATTTAGATATTATAACTAATAATAATATTAATAATAATAATAATATTAATGAAAGCATCAATAGCAATAATAGTAACTATGATAATCTAGATGATAATGAGCATGCACAATTGATTAAAAATGAAAGTGCCAAACAAGGACTAATAGATATTAAGGTATCTAACTATTACTATTACTATTACTATTACTATTACTATTACTATTACTATTACTATTACTATTACTATTACTATTACTATTACTATTACTATTACTATTACTATTACTATTACTATTACTATTACTATTACTATTACTATTACTATTACTATTACTATTACTATTACTATTACTATTACTATTACTATTACTATTACTATTACTATTACTATTACTATTACTATTACTATTACTATTACTATTACTATTACTATTACTATTACTATTACTATTACTATTACTATTACTATTACTATTACTATTACTATTACTATTACTATTACTATTACTATTACTATTACTATTACTATTACTATTACTATTACTATTACTATTACTATTACTAAAAAATTAATTCTAATAAATTTGATTCTAGCTATTTGTAAAATATTTGCGCTCATTGGGCCTAATATTTAGACTAATTTGTCTACCGGTCCTAATATTGAACACTGGCCTAAACTATGGTATCAATTTTTGGTTAGCCTACTGGTGCAAAAATATTGACAACAATAATAATAATAATAATACCAACAATTTCTACTATTTGCTAATATTTGGCTTAATTATTTTAGGCCAATTACTAGTACAACTAGCTTATAGATATAGCTATGTTAGCTGTATAATAGGTACGTGCTCTAGACTACATAATCAATTATTAGCTAGCGTAATACAGGCGCCCATGGAGTTTTTCGATACGACACCCCTGGGCCGTTTGATCAATCGTTTCAATAAAGATCTCTATAGTATGGATAAAGTTTTTCCAGTATTTTTTGGGTAATTAAAAAAACAACAATTTTTACTATTAATTTACTATTAATTTTGTAAAATATTAGAAATTAATTAATTAAATTATTTATTGAAAAAAATATAGAAAAAGTCATACACTATATGTGTGTAGAAATATATAGATTTAATAATAATTTTTTATATTATATATTATTCATAACGTTTTTCCAGTATTTTTTTGTGTAAAAATCAATTTAACTATTAATTTAACTATTAGTTATTAATTTTTTTTAATTAAAAAACAGTAAAAATTAAAATTGTGTCGCTATGCGCCACTACATGTCAAGAATGGCGCCCACAGGTGCGCAATGCGCTTAACAGCACCGATAGCTGATATACAGCACTCAGTATGCGCTGAGACTAGTATGCGAACAGTCGTATAATTTGAACAATAAAAATCGTTTTTTGCTAAACACGTGTTTTTTCGATAATTACTTTACCGCCGATTCCCCGATATTTGAGTTGACCACCGCTCGCTATGCAATAGTCATCTCAATTGGCGCAGTCGCCGAGATCGAATTTACGCTAAATTTCACCGATTTTTATACCCCGTTTTAACCGCTTTTACGACTAATCGTTTGAATGAAAAATTCAACGGTTTTTTAGACGTCTTTATTTTAACGATTTTTTTTAACCGACATTTGCGACGATTTCAAGAGCTTATTAAGAAGCGAAAAGACCGAAAAAGGTACCGATATGTCTCTCCGATCCGGTAATACATATAGGGCAACCCTGCCGCCCACCGACGCCGAAGATATTACCGAAGATATTCCCGAAGATAATGCAGAAGCCATAACGACATTAGCCGATGATATCGAAGCGATAACTCAAGGTATAACCGCCGACATGGATCTCAATGAGTTGGCCGAACGAATGGCCACATTGACTACCGCTGCCCGCGCCGCTGCGGCAGCCCGCGAACAAGCCATTCAAGATGGACGCGACGCCAGACGGTTGGTGAATGCGAATACAACTGCGAAGAATCGTTTAGAAATTACCGAAAAACGTGTCGATAAGCAACAATATGCGCCTCATATCGCTAAGACATCTTCGAAAATGTGCGAATCGTTTAGTGGCGATAAATCGATAGTACCGATAGACGAATGGATCGACGGATTCAATTCGTTAGTTTACGATTTTACCGATAGCGAGAAACTGACGTCATTGGCCAAACACGTAACCGGCGAGGCATACAGTTGGTACTGCCGCGAGGTCGCTCGTAAACGACCAGACATCACGTGGGACACGTGTCGAACGAAAATGATCGCCCGTTTCGGTCGTATGGTAGGCCACGGGATTGTAGAAGCATCTGACCGTCGACTCCGAGGAAACGAAAGCGTATTGTCATATTATACGGATATGCGTCGACTTCTGGATGAAGCCGAAGCTACGGACAAACAAGCAGTCGGGCTACTCACGAAGGGTATGCCCGACTGGTACAAACCACATCTGGCTGCCCAGAAGCCGAAGACTCCCGAAGATTGGTTTGGAATCGCCGTAGCGATTGAAGAAACACGAAAAAGACAGCGATATCCCGGAGTCCATTCGATGGAAGACAGCGACGAAAATGGAAACGAGAAAAGATTCGATTGGAAGAAGAAACGAAATGGTGGCGACAAACCCAACCTTCCTTGTCCTCGATGTAAGCGATTTGGAGCTACAGAATACCACTGGATGCGACTTTGCCACCGTCCGGACACCAGACAACCGCCTACACCTCGACCCGCGTCTGGAACTGTTGCAACACCGGCTGTTAACGCTATAGTAGTTAACGACAATCGTCATTACGGTGTGAAGATAAACGGCAAACATGTGAATGCGTTTATGGACCACGGATCGGAATTGACGGTCCTATCGAAGAAAATTTCCGATAATTTGCGATTACGGCCAGACGGAAGAGGTATCAAAGTAAAGACCGTCGCTGGATTCAAGATAACACTCGGTGAAGTCCGTGTCGACATCACCCTTGACGGACGAACGGAAAGAGTGTCGATGCAAGTGATGGACGACATCTCGTATGATGCTATAGTTGGCATCGATATCGCCGAGATGGAGACGAAAGTGCGATTAAAAGATCAACGAAAGGTCGACAGCTATGCGATAAAAGTCGTTAAAGAAGTATCGATGGCTTTGATGACCGTTGTTGGTGCTGTTGAAGAACCGACAAATCCGTTGCTCAATGATTACGATGTTTTTGCTCGACACGACAAGGATGTCGGTCGCGTTCGGAACGTTAAACACGTCATACGATTGAAAGCCGATGCCGTTCCTATAGTTCAACGCCATTTCCGAGTATCTGCCGAACGGGAAAAGCTGATGAGAAAGGAGACCGACGGTCTGTTAGCCAAAGGGCTCATCCGACCATCGCGTTCTCCTTGGGCATCACCACTATTCCTAATTGGTAAAAAAGACGGTAGCTATCGAAGTGTAATTGATTACCGAAAAGTCAACGCTCAAACCGTCAGTGAACGCACACCACTACCAATAATACATGATTTGATCGACAAATTGTCCGGATCAACGGTATTCACCACCTTAGATGTAGCGCACGGCTACTGGCAAATACCGATTGCCGAAGAATCAATGGAAGTGACCGCCTTTGTTACCCCGTACGGCCAATTCGAATGGACAGTTCTCGCGATGGGACTTACCAACGCATGTTCGGTGTTCCAACGGGAGATACGTAAAATACTTAACGAATTGGTCGGCAATGGTGTCGAGTGTTATCTGGACGACATTCTGGTCCACTCCCGCGATAGGGAAAGTCATCGTCATCTGCTCCGGAAAGTATTCGAAAGATTAGTCAACGAAGGAATTCGATTGCGTCGAGAAAAATGTCGATTTTTTGCCGAATCTGTCGAATTCCTGGGACACGTAGTTTCCGCCGCTAGTGTACAGCCGTCGCCTAAGAAACTCAAGGCTGTCCGTGAGTTCCCTACACCGAAGTCAACAAAACAAATACAAGAATTCGTAGGACTCGTGAATTTTTATCGTCAGTTTGTCGAAGGTTTCTCTAAGATAGCCAAACCACTCACCGATTTGACCAGAAAAGACGTTCCGTTTGGTTGGACTGACCTACAGCAACGCGCCTTCGATGGGCTTAAAAATGCGCTTTGCGCTGCACCGGTACTCCGTATATATGATCCGAAGTTACCGATGATTCTACAGACGGACGGTTCAACGGTTGGTTTAGGAGCCGTACTGTCACAGCGAGAAACCGATGGTACCGTAAAACCGATAGCGTATTGGTCACAAAAGTTGAATGACGCCGAAACCCGATATTCTTCCGCCGAATTGGAATGCCTGGCCGTTGTCCGATCAGTCGAACATTTCAACATATATTTAGATGGCGTCCACTTCGATATATACTCTGATTGCGCGGCCTTAAAGTGGTTGTTTGGTGTGGCCAACCCATCGAGCCGTTTGTTCCGTTGGTCAGTACGACTGGGCGTATATAACTATACCGTTCATCTTCGCCCGGGCAAAGAAAATCTGGCCGCTGACGCGTTCTCCCGAAATCCCATAGTGATGGCCATCGAATTGGACCGATTCGCCGCTAAACAACACGAGATAAAAGCGTATAATATTCGTAAACCGAAAATAATCGATGGACTCGTAAACGTTACCTATCGTGGTGTCACCAAACTGGTCGTCCCCTCCTCGATGGTTAACGATGTCTTAATCGAGTTCCACGATGGTTTAAATCATCCGGGAATCGCTAAAACCTTGAAAGCGATATCGTCTAAACATTGTTGGCCGACGATAGGTTCCGATGTCGCCGCGTATGTCCGCAGTTGTCACCCGTGCCAGTTGGTTAAGCCGCCAAACGAGACAACACACGGTACTAGTCGTCCTATACCGACACCCGACAAACCGAATCAGCTCTGGTCGTTAGATACTATCGTAATTGGTTCCGCCGCAAGAAGTACCGCCGCTCAGTATATAATCGTTTTGGTCGATAACCATTCGCGATATACTTGGGCTGCGGCTGTTAAACGCAATTCGACCGAAGCCGCCATTAATCTAATAAGTCGACTGTTCGATAGCGTTGGTCGACCAAAGGCAATATTAAGCGATAATGGTTCGTCATTTACGGCTAAACGTTTTTGTAATTATCTACACGAACGTGGGGTTCGGCACCTCCTCACGCCTCCCTATCATCCGCAAGGAAACGGTGTGGTCGAAAAAACCAACGATGCGATAGCTAAAGGTATGCGGATGGCGTTAATCGATCGGCTGACAGTCCGTTGGTCGACAGTATTGGCCGATGTATTGATCGCCCATAACGATCAAATTCATGGTATAACGGGATACCCGCCGAGATATCTACATTTTGGTATCGTTGCCGATGGACACGCCGTCCCGATAGTTGGACTAGAAGAAGCCCGAAGACTAGGTACCGAACGGTCGAGACGTTCTCAAGATCTACGAAAAGAAAGACACGATGAAAGACATAAACAATCGGATCTACGCGTTAATGATATCGTTAAGTACCGGTTACCCGACAATCACCCGTCGCGTAATAAATTGACGCCTTATTACGTCGGCCCGTGCCGTATATCTGACCAAATCGGACCCGAAACCTACCGTATAGACCAACTAGACGTGAAAGACGGGACAATCGTTAAAACTTTGGTATCGCATTCCTCGAACTTATTGCGGTATAACTTACGAAAAGATTGCGTATTCATCGATAAACCCGACGGTAACATCCAAAACACGACACGTGAACCGATAGTCGTCCCTAAGATTGACATTATTCGCGGGACTCGAGATAACGGAAAATACGAAGAAAACGACTACAATTTCACGAAAACACCGATGTCTATCACAGCCGATGAGTTCGGATATATCCCGTATCGCCGGTCCTGTCCGGTGGCGAGTGTGTCGCTATGCGCCACTACATGTCAACAATGGCGCCCACAGGTGCGCAATGCGCTTAACAGCACCGATAGCTGATATACAGCACTCAGTATGCGCTGAGACTAGTATGCGAACAGTCGTATAATTTGAACAATAAAAATCGTTTTTTGCTAAACACGTGTTTTTTCGATAATTACTTTACCGCCGATTCCCCGATATTTGAGTTGACCACCGCTCGCTATGCAATAGTCATCTCAAAATATTAGAAATTAGCTATTATAATTAAACTATTTATAGAAAAAATATACAAAAATATACACTATGTGTGTATAAATATATAGATTTAATAATAAATTTTATATTATTTATAATGTTTTTACTTTTTTTTTGCTTTTTTAGTCAATCAATGGATTATTTTCTACAAACACTGGCTATTGTTGTGTCGATTTCAATATTGACGCCAATATTTTTGATACCATTGGCAGTGACTGTTGTTGTCTACTATTATCTATTGGTAATGTATTAAAAAAAAAATTTTTTTAAACAAAATTAATAAATAAAATATTTTATTTACAAACTTTTTTTTTAAAAATTATTATTAATAATATATTTTGTTTAATATTTCTATATATTTCAGAAACTCTACATTAAAACATCGTTACAATTGAAACGGTATTATATTAATAATAACTAAATTATATTAAAATAATTTAATTTTCTAAAAAAATATTAATTAACAATTTGTATGTTTGTATATTAAATATTTACATTACATATGTGTATTATATCTGTATTAATCTGTATGTATATATAGTTAAGAGTCTATAAGCTAATAATAATACTAACAATAATACTTATAATAATACTAATGATAATAATAATATTGATAATTAATAATCTACTAATTAAAATCCATAATTAAAGTTTACAAAACATTCAAATATTCAAAATAAATATATCAATTGTATTAATATCTAGTCCTATATATATATTATAGTTTAGAGTCCATAAGCCGATCGCCAATATATTCACATTTAGGCGAAACATTGAATGGTGTGTCCAGTATTAGGGCCTATGATTGTATGGATAGGTTTATACGGGAATCGGATAATAGGATTGACAACAATACTAAGTGTCTCTATCCGTATATTGTGGCCAACAGTTGGCTATTAATTAGACTACAAGTCCTGAGCAATTTGCTTGTACTGTTTGCTGCACTGTTTGGTGTCATTGGTAGAGATAGTCTAACCGGTTCGGACATTGGACTGTCCCTATCGATGGCCATTACATTAACCGGTATTTTAGAGTATTTTATCGATTCGTTTGGCCAAATGTTGGCATTATTTGTATCGTTTGAACGAATAGACGAATATTGTTGTCTAGAAAGCGAACCAATTGGTCAATACGGTAGACAATTGTCAGATAAATGGCCAGAAAATGGTTGTATTAGTTTTGTTGGATACGGTAGTCGATATCGACAGGGATTTGATTTAGTAATCAAAGGCATTACAGTTAATATAAAGTCCGGTGAAAAGGTATTATTATTATTATTTATTGCATAACTTATTAAATAATTTCTATATATATAACAGATAGGTATTGTTGGCCGAACCGGTGCGGGAAAGTCATCGCTAACATTGGCATTGTTTAGGCTTATTGAGCCAGCAATGGGTCGTATAGTTATCGACGGTATAGATATCAGTCAATTAGGTCTACACGAGTTGAGGTCGCGGTTGACTATTATACCACAAGAACCGGTACTGTTTTCGGGAACTATTCGCTCAAATTTGGATCCGTTCGACAGGTTTTCCGACGACCAACTCTGGTCAGTGTTAGAACAGTCGCATCTCAAAGAGTTTGTACTGTCGACTGATGCCGGTCTCGACCATCCGGTTACCGAATCGGGTGATAACATGAGTGTCGGTCAGCGACAACTTGTATGTCTGGCTCGAGCTTTCCTCCGACACTCGTCTATCCTTATCCTCGATGAGGCCACGGCTGCCGTCGATGTCGAGACCGATGCACTCATTCAGCAAACTATTAGACAATCATTTAAGTCGTGTACTGTCCTAACGATTGCCCACCGAATCAATACAATCCTGGATTACGATCGGGTGTTAGTCCTAAGCGACGGACGGGTAGCCGAGTTTGACTCACCCGACAAACTGCTTGACGACAGGACAACCATTTTCTACTCACTGGCCAAAGATGCCGGTGTTATATAAAAATTTATTGTTTGTATATTGTATTTATTAGATTTGATTTTTTTTATAATATTTTATACTATTTATTAATGTATTTATTTAATTAAATAATTATATATTAATGATTCAAATTTTATATTTAATATACAGTATATAACTACAGTAATTATACATTTAATTACTTAAATACAAATTAAGATAATAAAAATAAAATAAATAATTTACTTAAATAAATAAAATAATAGATAATTAATTAATTTCATAATCAAAATTAAATACAATTGAATCTTTTATTTATAAGAAAATTTATTTTATTTTATAAACTTTATCTTTATTTTATTAGTTTAAATAAAAAACTTCAATAAAACTAATAATAAAAAGTAGTAGTAGTTGTTGTTGTTATTTATAAGTAATAATTAATAAAAACTTAAATAGTAGTTACAATAATTTTTTAAAAATTAAATTAAATATTATATAACACCGGCATCTTTGGCTAGTGAATAGAAAATGGTTGTCCTGTCGTCAAGCAGTTTGTCGGGTGAGTCAAACTCGGCTACCCGTCCGTCACTTAGGACTAACACCCGATCGTAATCAAGGATTGTATTGATTCGGTGGGCAATCGTTAGGACAGTACATGACTTAAACTCTTGTCTAATAGTTTGCTGAATGAGTGCATCGGTTTCCACATCTACGGCAGCCGTGGCCTCATCGAGGATAAGGATAGACGTGTGTCTGAGTAGAGCCCGAGCCAGACATACAAGTTGTCGCTGACCGACACTCATGTTATCACCCGATTCGGTCACCGGATGGTCGAGACCGGCATCAGTCGACAGTACAAACTCTTTGAGATGCGACTGTTCTAACACTGACCAGAGTTCGTCGTCGGAAAACTTGTCGAACGGATCCAAATTTGAGCGAATAGTTCCCGAAAACAGTACCGGTTCTTGTGGTATAATAGTCAACCGCGACCTCAACTCGTGTAGACCTAATTGACTGATATCTATACCGTCGATAACTATACGACCCATTGCTGGCTCAATAAGTCGAAACAACGCCAATGTTAGCGATGACTTTCCCGCACCGGTTCGGCCAACAATACCTATCTATGATAATAATAATTATAATAATTATTGAGTAATATATTATTATCATATATTTACCATTTCTCCAGATTTTATAGAAATATCGATGCCTTTGATAACTAAATCCAAACCCTGTCGATATCGGGTACCGTATCCATCAAATCTGATGCATCCATTTTCTGGCCATTTATCCGATAATTGTTGACCGATCGATAATTGCCAGTCGGCTTCTGTATTCAGACGGCAATATTCGTCTATCCGTTCAAACGATACCAGATTTGCTTGGGTTTGAGCCAATGAATTGATAAAATACTCTAAAATACCGGTCAGAGTAATAGCATTTGAGAGACTGAGTCCAATGTCCGAACCGTTTAGACTATCTTTACGTATGACACCAAACACGGCAGCAAACAGTACAAGTATATTGGTAAGCACTTGTAGTCTAACCAATAGCCAACTGTTGGCCATAATATACGGATAGAGACACTTAGTATTGTTGTCGATCCTTTTGTCCGATTCCCGTATAAACCTATCCCTACAATCATAGGCCCTAATACTGGATAAGCCGTTAAGTGTTTCCTCTAAATGTGAATTAATTGGCGATCGACTGATAGACTCTAAACTATTGATATATAATATAATAGATATATAATATTAATACAATTGATATATTTATTTTGAATATTTGCATGTTTTGTAAAATTTTAATTATTGATTTTAATTAGTAGATTATTATTAGTATTATTATTAATATTATATATCTAAATACTACATAATATTTAATAATATGATTATTTAATTTATTTTTTCAAAATCAATAATATTTTTTTAATTACATACCGTCTTAATTGACACGATGTTTTAATATAAATGTTCTAGATTATTTTTGGATGTTAAAAAATTTTTATTTAATAATAAATTATAATTAATTATATATCAATATATACTATATATATATATATATATATAATTAAATACCTGTAGAATATAGTATACAATAACAGTCAAACCAAATGGTATCAAAAACATTGGCGTCAGTATTGAAATCGACACAACAATACCAATGAATTGTAGGAAATAGTCTAATGATTGACTAAAATAATTGATAAAATTAAAAGTTATTTAAAAAAAATTAAAAACAAATTGTTATATATATATAATAAGCTTAACTAAAATTATTATATATATATATATATATATATCAATATGTGTTATTATAAATATAACTCATATTGTATGAGCTATATAATAATAATAATAATAATTTTAATTAAAAGTTATTATATATTTATTAGTCATATACTTATAATAATATTAATATAATTAACATAGCATCTTGCTCCTCACATCATCTCCCATTCCTCCCACACCCCACCCCACCCCCACCCAATTACCTAAATACAACTGGCAAACCCAAATCAATCAGATACATGTCCTTGTTGAAACGATTCAATAGTCGACCTACGGGTGTCGTATCGAAAAACTCCATGGGCGCGTGCATAACGCGTGCCAATAGTTTACGATGCAATCGTATACAGGTGCTTATAATGGTCAGGGCATAGATATATCTGTAAACTGTTTGCAACAATAACTGTCCGACAATCATTGCGGCAAATATTATCATATAAAACACTGGACCCCTACTGTCCCCAATATCACTACCATCATCATCGCCATTATTATTATTATTATTGATGGCAACCAACTGTTTGGACCAGTAGGCCAACCAAAAATTGATACCATAGTTGACAGCAGTCGATAACATTAGAACCGTTAGACAAATCAATAGTAATTTTATGTTAATTAGACGAACATATTTGATAAATGTCTATAAAATAAAAATTTTAATAAATAAATAACAACAAAAAAATAGAAAAATAATAATAATAATAATAATTTATGTATTAAAAAAATACCTTAATAGTTATTAGTCCAACTTGGGCACCCTCCTCATCAATTAATTGTGCATGATTATTTATATTTTTTGCAACTATATTATTATCATTGTTATCAAAATTATTATCAAAATTATTATCATTTTTATTACCAAAATTATTATCATTTTTATTATCAAAATTATTATCATTTTTATTATCAAAATTATTATCATTTTTATTATCAAAATTATTATTATTATTATTATTGGCGATAATATTTTTATTAATAACAACTGTTTTATTCAAACTAACTGTCCATTTATGGTCATTATTGTAATCATCATCGACTCGTTCACTGAAATACTGTTTAATTAATTGTTGAAAATAATTACTATCGTGTAATAGCTCCCCATAAGTACCGGTCGATACTATTTTACCCGATTTCAGGACAACTATTAGATCGCAATCGGCTAACATAAACAATTGATTTGTGACCAACAATCGGGTTTTTGAACCCAAACATCCCGTTTTTGTATCCAATACTTCATTCATCAATTGTTTGCCCACATGACTGTCCACTATATTAGGAAAAAATTAAAATTAATATATAAAAACAATATCGTCAACAATACCTGCAGAAAGTGGATCGTCGAGTAGGTATAGATCGGCACCGGAATAGACGGCTCGGCCTAAACTAAGTCTCTGTTTTTGACCGCCACTCAGATTCACACCTTTTTCGCCGATCTCTGTCTGGTCTCCGCCGGCCAGTTGTCTTAAGTCAGGTCTGAGAGCACAGCTATCTATCACCCGGTCATACAGTTCCTCATCGAATGGCTTTCCAAACATAATATTCTGTTTGATGGTTGCATTCTGTATCCATGCCTGTTGTGGAACGTATGCCATATTAACACCCGGTCTAACATTGACTGTCCCATCAATCAGTTCCATATCGCCGATAATTGCCGACAACAGTGAACTTTTACCTGAACCGACATCGCCTACTATGGCCACAAACATACCCTCACGGATATGCAAATCAATTTGATTTAATGTATAGTCTTGTATATTATTATTAATAGTTTTTTGATCATTAGGTGTATCCCATGAAAGTGTTGCCCCATTTATATCAATCATATTATTATTATCATTGCTATCCTTATTATTGGTCACATAGTTGTTGTGTTCATCCAAATTGAGAAAATCATTGAAACGATTGATCGAGACGTACATCTAATATATTTATTAAAAAAATAATAAATAATTATTTTTATTTTTAAAAAATACTCCAAAAGTATTAACAAAAAATTAATTATTGATATATTTTTGTTGTTTATAATTTTTTAAAAATAGATATGTGTTTAATAAGTTTAATAACTAACTTTTTAAAAAATAAAACTGTATTAAACATAATTATTTTTTAATAAAATATTTTTTAATAAAATATTTTTTTAAATAATATAAAAAATTATAAATAATAATAATATCATTCATACTAACCATACCAGCAGTACTGTAAACATAACCTAATTTTGATAGGATTTCCTTAAACACTGACATCAATGATATCGAGAAAAATATCTTTTCAGCCGTTAATTGTTCAGCAAATTTCAGTCCCAAATATAGACTAAATATTAGCAAATGGCATATCAATGGACACATGTTTGATATTATATACAATAAGGCAAAAACATAATACAAATGTTTGGCTTTACGTAACTCCTGATCACGTAATTTGGTTATAATATTCATAAACGGTTGTTCCCACGCGTATAACTAAATTAAAATAAACAATAATTAATTAATAATACTAATACTAATACTAATACTAATACTAATACTAATACTAATACTAATAATAAATAATAATAAATAATAATAAATAATAATAAATAATAATAAATAATAATAAATAATAATAAATAATAATAAATAATAATAAATAATAATAAATAATAATAAATAATAATAAATAATAATAAATAATAATAAATAATAATAAATAATAATAAGTAAGTAATTAAAAAATTAATTAATTATACTTTAATTATTTTGATGCCATTTAGTATTTCTTTAATAAAATTAAGTCTATTGTCTGAATATTTTAATTGTTTTCTATCGATTTTAATACCGATTTTCATAATTAAAAACTGTAACCAAAATAGTATGACCACAACCGCTAAACAGGAAAATGCTGTATAACTAAACTCAGTAAACAATAAGCCAGTGGTCAGTATTATCTGTAGGGGTAATACCACTATGTATGCCAACCATTGGGCATTATCTATATATTTGAATAACAAAATATATTGATTATTTTAAATGAAAAAAAAATTATGTAATATTTTTTAATACTATAATTTTTATACTATATTTTTATACTAAACCATTAACTCGTTGACAGTCGACAGCCATTAGGTTAGTTATGTCGCCATAACTGGTCTGACGTTTGGCACCGTTACTCAACACCAGTGACTTGCGATAGACGGCCGACATTACCGATGATGTGATTTTTATTACTATTTTTTTATATTAAAACAAATAAATAAAATTGAAATACTGTATTGTTATTATATATATATATTATTAGTTAAATGTATTTAATAATCATAAAAACCTAGACATTTGATTGCTTGTATATAATATGTATTCAATAGACTCGATAGTATAGTAATCAGCACCAGTAGTACACAATAGACATAGCCGTGCCATTTATATTGATCCTTATCCTCATAAGTGATAAACAATCTAAAATAATAATAATAATAATATTTTTTAACTATTATATATATATATATATATATATATATATACAGTACATAAACACTACATACTTGACCACTAATGGTTGACAACATTTTAGGCCAACCGATAAAAATAATATTAGACATAACCATAGAAATTGTAGACTAAATTTATGCAATATTATCGATAAAAAACTAATTTTATTATTATTATTATTAGTATTATTATTAACATCATTAGAATAATTGAAACTAAAAATTGATTGAAATTTATTTTTTGCTTTAATGTCCGCTAAAATGGTTGTATCGCTGATAACACTATTAGGTTTAGTTGTCTTAAATAGATATCTATGAAACGTTAGGTTATAGTTAGCTAAGACACTGTAGCCCGGGGTCAGTGGCCAGAGATCCTGGAAGTCGATTGATTTTTTCCAGTTTCGGACAAACAAACTGGTCATCCATTGATAGGTTAGCCTCGATATAGACGATGCCCTCTCTATGGGACATATAATGTCTGGATATTTATTGCTGATTATGTTTCGCTTAGTTGTATTTATATTATTAGTATTAGTATTGACTATAGGCTTGCAATCAGCAAATTGACAATAGATTAGTAGTAAAACAGTCAATCCATAGTTTATACAAAACCATATGAATTCATAGTTGTATAGCACCTGATTGTTAGTATAGATAGCCACAGATAAGGCACCGAATATGGTGTCCAACAATAGGTATAACCAAATCAGTCCACTAGTGATAATACCGTACAAACGTTGAATGTTAAACACTAGACATAGTAGTAATCTGGCCATAGTTTGTATGCCTAACCCTAGTATGTATGCAGTACTGGGACTATCGTTCCACTGATATTTACGGCGTAAACTTAACGCCAGTTCCGCTATTAGTATACCAGTGCTTAGCAAACAAACAAATAATCGGCTGGTGTTGTAATAATTCCATTGAATAGTAGTTTTATTAATATTATTATTATTAGTATTTTTGTGATAACATTTCCACATTAGGTACGGTATGTATAACAACAAGACTATACAGGGAATCCATACAAACCATGTGTTTAACATACATGAGCTTAGATTAGGAGCCGTTGTATACCATGAAAGTTGTGGATCCTTTAGACGCAAAATTTGTTTTTAAAAAAATTTAATTATAAATTTTATTACGACTATTACTATTGGTATAAAATAATAAACTATTAAATAATTAATTAATACAATGTTTATATATTTATATATATGATATAGTTTACCCATAATTGATCCTTGCATATTTTCTCAAACATTATTAATTAATTATTAATATTTATATTAAGTTTACATATACTTAATATCCATTTGTTTTTCCAAAACTTTCTTTAATTAAAATTATTATTAAATTTTTTTTTAAATTTTGTATTAAACATTAATCAATTAATTAATTAAAATAACAGCGATAAATAAATAAAAATTGTTTAAACTTAATATTGAAACAAAATAGACATAAATATCAATAATTTTAAGTACTTTCATCATAAATATAATATTTTTTTCTATTATTAATAATTAAAAAATATTTTTTTAAAAGATTATTTAATTGTAATAAATATATATATATATATAATAGTCATCATAAATTTCATATTATATTTATGTCAATTTTTATCTAAATCAATATTTATTTTTAAAAAAAAATTTTTTAGGTTATTATTTAAAACTATTACTAAACAAAACAAAAATATTTAATATTATAGAAAAATTTCCTGTAAGTAGTACGTATCTGAATTCTATAAGTCTATCTGTCTGTCTGTCTGTCTGTCTGTCTGTCTGAACCTAAAATTTTTTTTTCGAAATTTTAAATTTTAATTTCAGATTTGAATAAAACTTCAGAAAACATAAGCTAGAAAATAATAATATTTAGTTTTAGTTTATTAATTAAATTTATATTTAATTATTACATTATATTATTTGTATATATATATATATATCTAAAAACAAAATTTAGATAAATTATACATTAAATGATACATTAAAATGTTGATTATCTCATCAGGAACATAGAGAAAATGGCGGCCAAAATAAAATATAAGTTATAAGTTATAACTATAAGTTTTAATTATTTAATCATTTTTATATATATATATATACAGTAGTACTATCATTATAATTTTATTTTTCATAATAAATTAATATTGAAATTAAAGATTTATTTATTACTTATTTTTATGGATATAAAAAAATTTAATTTAAATTTATTAAAATTTTGTTTTTAGATATATATATATATACATATAATATAATGTAATAATTGAATATAAATTTAATTAATAAAATAAAACTAAATATTTTCTATTATCTTAATAATTATTTTCTAGTAATGTGTTTAAACATGTTAATTAGTAAATTATTAATAAATCTATTGTGAATAATATATTCAATAATAAAATTGAAGTTTTTATCTGTTATTTATTAAATTATTGCTAAAAAAATATATTATATAATAAACAAAAGTTATATTATTTCAATTTTTTTTTAAAAAATAACATTACTATTAATTATAATAAAAATTATTATAATTAATAGTAATGTTATTTAGCTTTAGTTTTTTTTTAATTAAAATTTTTCTCAGTTCAATACAATTTGATTTTAATGTTGTAATGACACAACATTTGTAGACAATCTCTAGGGAAACGGCTTTCCCATATTTAGACCACCTAATGTTTGACAACAGTGGACTATATATATATATATATATTACTGTATTTATTGAATTTTTTATATATATATATAAACAACAACAACAAAAATATTTTTTAGATATATTATCAAAATATTTATTATTTAATAATTATCACTAATAAACTAGAAAATATATATATATATATATAGTATATATCATATACCGTATATTCTGTATATATCATATATATATATATATACTGTGTATATCATATATATATATACTGTATATATCATATATATATACTGTATATATCATATATATATACTGTATATATCATATATATATACTGTATATATCATATATATATATACTGTATATATCATATATATATATACTGTATATATCATATATATATACTGTATATATCATATATATATATATACCTCATTTATATATATATAGTTATATACCAAAAAAAAATATTAAATATATTTATTGATTAGTAGTTATAAAAAAAAATTAATTATTAAAATAAAAATTATACATAATTAATAAACTTTATATAAATATATATAAAAAAAAAGTTAATAGTAATATGATTTTGTAATTTATTTTTTTATTCAAATTCACCCGAAATAGGTGACAACATTTTTCTCAGTTGAATACAATTTGATTGAATGTAACGAAACATTTGTAGGCAATCTCTGGGAAACGGCTTTCCATATGTAGACCACTATGTTTTCGACAGTCGACGATATATTACTGTCCTTAAAGTACGGGATATCTCTATCGATAAACTTATGATCAAATGGTTTTAGTATAGTTTCCTGCATTATTTGATTCAGATCATAGGTATTCATTAGGAAACCAGTGATGGGATCTACTGTTCCCTTAACAGTCAACTCTACTCTATAGTGGTGTCCGTGAATTGTATTACATTTGCCGAATGTCTGGCAATTTGTTTGCTGATCGAGTAGTTCGCTATTCAGACGGTGTGCCGAATCAAACGTCTCAATACGGGTCAGGTATACAACCGGTTTGCTGTCCATTGATTCAGTCATTCTTGTCTAACAAAAATAAAATGTTAGATAAAAGTTATTTATAATAATAATAATAATAATTATTATTATTATTTATATATTATTAGGATTTTAATAATTAATAATTATAGTTCAAAAAAAAATACTAATATATTTATTTTCTAATATATATATATATATATAATATTTTAGTTTAAAAAAAAATATATATATTAATACTTACTTTCAAAAAAAAATATATATATATATATATATATATTAAATATAATATTAAATTATTGTTAATAATATTGTTAAAATTTTATATATAACTGTTTTTATAAGGCTGGCTTATATACAAAATTTTTTTTTTGTGTGCTAAAAGCCTTATTACATATTGATTTATGGAATATAATTATTAGTAATAAAAAAAAAAAATTTCCATTTTTCATATTTTCCAAAATCATTTTATTGCATACATATTGAATAATTAAAAGTCATCTGCAAATGAAAAAAAATTATTCGTTATAATAAATAATAAATATATATATAAAAAATAGGTTTTTAGTTTGTATTTAAAATTAATGAATATTTTAATATTCAAACAAAACAACAAAAACTTCACAAGAGAGATATTTTTTTTAGTCTGTGTCTGTGTCTGTGTCTGTGTCTGTGTCTGTGTCTGTGTCTGTGTCTGTGTCTGTGTCTGTGTCTGTGTCTGTGTCTGTGTCTGTGTCTGTGTCTGTGTCTGTGTCTGTGTCTGTGTCTGTGTCTGAATACATACGAATACATGATTAAAAATATAGAAAATTTTTATTTTATTTTAGCAACATAATTTGTGTATCAATTAATTGACCTGATTATGTTTAATTTTTTTCAAAAAAATATATAAATATAAACAATTTTTTAAGTTTACAATTATTATTATGTATATTCTGATCATAATTGAAATTTTTATAGTTTCAAAGTTTATCATTTATACGCTATATCTATATAGGAAACTAAACTAATTGTATCATTATCTATTTATTTTCAGAAAAATGTTATTTTATGGAAATGCTTTCTAGCATTGTCAACTGGTTTTTATTTTATTTTAATTGAATATATATAATAAATATTAATAAATAATAATAAATACATTCATATAACTTAACAGTACTATCTTAAAACAATATTGAATATAATTAAAATAAATTATAGTAATTACTAGTAATTAATTCACATTTTTTTATTATTTTTTTTATTATTTTTTTTATTATTTTTTTATTATTATTTTTTTATCATTATTTTTTTATCATTATTTTTTTATCATTATTTTTTTATTATTATTTTTTATAAAAAAATGTTAATATTCTAATTTATTTATTAAGGAAATAAAACTATTACTAAGCTAATATGTTAATCAACAATTTTATATATGTATATATATATATATATATATCAATAAATTTATTAGTTATTAATTAAAATTAAAAGTTTTATGAATATAACAACAACAACATCAAGAAAAATGAGTAAAAATTTTAATAAATTAAATCAAAATAATAATAATATTATTATCAATGAAGCGGTGGTCAAACAAATAGATAGTGATATCAATAAAAATCCTATAATAAATAGTATAGTATCGCAAAAAACAACTAACGGTGCGAACAATGGTTTGGACGATAAAAATGATAAACAATTGAAACGATTGACTCGTATTTATAGAGATCTGTTGGAAACCATTGGCGAAGACACGGAAAGAGAGGGTCTATTGAAGACACCGGAGAGGGCAGCGAAAGCACTGTTGTATTTCACTAATGGATATCAATTGAAAATCAATGATGTCTTGAATGATGCCGTGTTTGCTGAAGACACAGATGAGATGGTTGTCGTCAAAGATATTGAAATGTTTTCCTATTGTGAACACCATTTGGTGCCCATCTATGGCAAAGTGTCTATCGGTTATCTGCCCGACCATAAGGTGCTGGGACTCAGCAAATTGGCCCGAATTGTGGAAATGTTTGCCCGAAGACTGCAAGGTATGGATGAAACAGACAAAAATAAAAATAATTATATTTAAAAATAATTTATAAAATATATTGATTTTTGTCTTACAGTTCAGGAAAGACTGACCAAACAAATAGCCGAAGCAGTGGTTGAAGCTATCAGTCCTTTAGGAGTCGGTGTTGTTGTTGAGGCCAAGTATGTGTCATATTATATATAAGTTTGAATAAAATTATTGATTTTTATTGGTATTTCCAGACACATGTGTATGAGCTCTCGTGGGGTACAGAAAATCAATGGCAAAACTATAACCAGTTGTATGTTTGGACAGTTCAGAGATAATCATAAAACTAGACATGAATTTCTATCAATGATTTAAAAATTATATGTAGTTTTATAGACTATGTTTCCGAAAGAGAGAGAGAGAGAGAGTCTACAATATGTTTGATTTGATAAATGACCAAGTTATAAATTATTTTATTTTATTTTCAATTTATTCTATTTAAATTTTTATTAATAAAAAATTAGTTAAATTATTATTTTTTTATTTACTAAAATATTATTATTATTATTATTATTATTATTATTATTATTATTATTATTATTATTATTATTATTATTATTATTATTATTATTATTATTATTATTATTATTATTATTATTATTATTATTATTATTATTATTATTATTATTATTATTATTATTATTATTATTATTATTATTATTATTATTATTATTATTATTATCATCAAATAAAATATGTTTTTAACTAACTAACTAAATATTTATATATACGATATATATATAATAAATAATACAAAAAAAACAATTTTTTTTTGTAAATATATATTTTTTTTAAATCTGTATTAATAGTTGCAGGACGGGACGGGACAGGACGGGACGGGACGGGACGGGACGGGACGGGACAGGACGGGACAATAGGAGATTTTTGTGCTCAACTTTTTCACACCACTAGTATGTACTCTATGTACTGTATATTTGTATGTAGAGTTCGGGTAACTTTTTCAAAAAAGGAGGAAAATTCCCTCCAATAAAATAAATTCCCTGTGAAAAAATTTACCAAAAAAATAATAATAATAAACGAAAATATATTTTATATATATTTTTTACAATAAATTATAGTAAAAACTTAGCTATTTTTTTGATAGTATAAAATATCTATTAATATATAAAAATAAAACTAAATAAATTTGAATTCAATAAATTTTTTAGTAATACTATTTTTGTAACACATTTTGGTATACAATTTAATATAACATTTATTATCAACAACAAAAAAATCTTTAAATATTAAAAATATGTTATTTTTTTAAAGTTCAATAGATGTAGTAATACATTGAAAATAGATTTCCTGGAAATTTCCAGGGGAACACAGGGAACATAAAAATTTTTAGGTTAATAAAATTTAGGAAAATAATTTTGATCGAACCCTAACTTTGTATAGTTATATACAGTATATAACGATATCAATAGTCAATAGTAATCATAATCTTAAGTGTTATAAGAAAAAGTGTTTCAAGTGTTTAGTTAATAATATATACTGTATTGAAAAAAATTTGTTATAGATTTTAATATAATAATAGTATATTAATTAATATTATATATCTATAGATATTATTATTATTATTTTTAACATTATCATTAAAACTTTCTAAATAGTTTAGTATATTAATGTACTTTTTTGTTGTTGTTGTATTAGTTAATATTTTTTTTAAGATAAAAAAAATTTAAAAATTTTTGTATATATATAAATAGCTCAATGCATTTGATGACCAATAAAATATTAAGTAAATTTTCATTATATATAAATATTTTTTTGAAACAAAAAAAAAGTTACTAGGTACGTGTAAAACAAAGAAAAAAGTTAAAATAATTTATTTTAATATTTTTATTATTTATAATTTATAATATTTTTTAATTTATAATTTATAATATTTTTTTTTATTTATAATTTATCATATTTTTTTATTTATAATTTTCATATTTATTTTAATTTATAATTTTTCATATTTTTTATATATAATTTATTATATTTTTTCTAACTTATAATTTTAATTATTATTATTTTTTAAAAATAAATTTAATTTACAGTAAAATGTCGGTCAATAACAACAACAAAACCAGACAACCGTTGGTATACTTTACACGTATCGAGACGTTTGATTCGGCTCATCGTCTGAATAGCGGACAACTGGATGGCCAGACAAATCGGGAAACGTTCGGCAAATGTAATACAATTCACGGCCACAACTATCGGGTAGAGTTGACTGTTAAGGGAACGGCCGATCCGGTAACGGGTATTCTGTGCAATAACTATGTACTCAAAGAGATTATGTCGGATACTATATTGAAACCGTTTGATCATAAGTTTATCGATGAAGATGTCAGCTATTTTAGGGATGATAGTCATACGTCAACATTGGAAAACATTGTTATCTATATATGGAAAGCCGTTTCCGATAGATTGCCAACAAATGTTAGGTTACATCAAATCAAATTGTATTCAACTGAGAAAAATGTGGTCACTTTTTCGGGTGAATTTGAATAAGCAATTTGTATAGCAATTTATAAGCAATTTATAAGCAATTTATAAGCAATTTATAAGCAATTTATAAGCAATTTATAAGCTATTTATAAGCAATTTATAAGCTATTTATATGCAATTTATTTGTTATTTAATTAATTACTAATTATAAAGATTTTAATTAAAAATGTTGTAACCTTTTTGGGGTGAATTTGAAAAGCAAATAAAAATAGTATATATAATAATAATAATAATAATAATTAATTGAATTAACTTTATTTATGAAAAAAATGATTTATTTAAAATAATAAAAAAAATACAATAAAAACAATTGTTTTATAGTATTATATTGTGTTATTGTATAATATATTAGTAAAACAATTTTTTTTTGCTATTTAATAATAATTTTTCTTATATATAAATATTTTTATTATTAATTAAAAAAACATAATTTTTACCGGTTGAATTTGAAATGAAATTATTTATAAAAAAAACTAATAAATAAATAATTGAATTAACTTTAATTAATACAGATTTAATATGATTTATATAAAAAACAATTTCTAATAAAAACAATTGTTTAATAAACTATATTTAGTAAATAGATTTTTATTTAAAACTTATATATAATTTATTTTTATAGTGTTAAAGCACTTATTATTATATTTTATACAAAAAAAATTTCTTAAATAATTAATTTATTATAATTAATAATTTTTAAAAAATTCAAAATAATTTTGAATTTGTAACATATATAAAAAATTTATTTACATATTGATTAACATATTTTGTATTATCAGTAATTTAATTTGACTAAATAAAATAATAGACAATTTTTTTCATTTAATTATATTAAATACTATTAAATTTTTCTATAAATTTATTTATTAATAAATAGATCAAAATAGTTGACAAAGTTTTTATTAGTTATAGAAATAATTTTATTATTACAGTAATTAAAAAATAAAAATAAAATAAATATTTTACTATTTTAAATTTTTTATATTATTTTCAATTCAATTTCAAATTATAATGCAATAACAATATCAGTTTATAAATAGTTTTATAAAATTTTTGTTAATATAAAATAACAATAACAAAAAAATTACAATTTAAATAAACTAGTATATTTTAGAGATATTAACAATATTTACTATAAATACAATATATTAATATATATATATATATATATATAAATACTATATAAAAACTATATATATATTTATAAACAAAAATACTAATATAATAATAATATTGTAATCTGTTTTTTTAAATGATAAAATGTCAATTAAAAAATATTATGTATTTTAATAATTATATTAATCAATAAAATACAATATTTGTATTTTACTTAATTGATAATAAATATAAATTATATTAATTGATAATTTTAGCTAAACTAAGCTTAAATAGTTTATATATATATTGATAACCCTTTATTAATTGGTGATAATAACTATTATTATTATTAATAATATTATTAAGATAGTATAATAATAATCTAACAATATATATATATATATATATATCTCATATTTAATTAAATAAATAAAAAAAATATTTAACAACAACAAAAAATGTGTTCAAATGAAAATATTCAGTAAATTATATTTATAATTATAAATTGTTTATAATTATAAGTTTTTTATAATAATATTAATTATAATTAAATTGTCTTGTTACGTTTGTGTTTTAATTAATTTAAGTAATTATTATTATTATAATACAATTTATTTAAAAAAAAAATAAATGTTTCAACATATATGCAATGATAAACTATGGGTAAATATATTTAATTTAAGCTAAACTATTATTGATTTTTTAAAAAAAATATTGAATAATAAAGAATTATACTGTACTATAAATACAATTATTAGTTTATTTATAACAATTATTATTTTTTAAAAAAAACAATTAATTAAATTATTTTTTGTTAGTTTTAATTTAATATTTAATAATAGATTGATTATTAAAATAAACAAAAAAAAATTATTTGTATATATAATAGTCTAGAATTGAATTGACCTAATTATTTAATTTAATAAAAAAATATAGTTAATAAATAAATAAATAATAGATATACTTATCATAATTAGCTAGATGCTATATTTAATATTTTTTTATACATTATTTGATGATATTATAATAAATTTATTTGTTGCCATAAATATTTTAAAAAAAATAAAAAAATATTGTACTTAAAAAAACTTTTAATAAAAATCAAAATATACAGTATATATATATATATATATATAGATATAATTATTTTTTTAATGTTAAAATTCAAAATAACATAAATTGTTTATGAAATATTATTATGTTAAATAATAATATATAAATAAGAAAAATTAGAAATTAATTATTATTATTATTATTTTCATTATATATTTACTGTAATTTTTCTAATATACAAGTACTGTACTAAACTATATATTAAACTTAGTATTTAAATAGTTTTACAATAGATATACTGATATAATAATATAAACTATATTAGGAACCAGTATTATCATGGTATACAATATCACCGCAACTGAGCTCATGTATGCTAAACACATGGTTTGTATGGATTCCCTGTATATTCTTGTTGTTATACATACCGAACCTAATATGGAAATGTTATGACAATAATAATAATAATAATAATAAAACTACTATTCAATGGAATTATTACAACACCAGCCGATTATTGGTATGTTTGTTGAGCACTGGTATACTAATAGCGGAACTGGCGTTAAGTTTATGCCGTAAATATCAGTGGAACGATAGTCCCAGTACTGCATACATACTTGGGTTAGGCATACAAACTATGGCCAGATTACTACTATGTCTAGTGTTTAACATTCAACGTTTGTACGGTATTATCACTAGTGGACTGATTTGTTTATACCTATTGTTGGACACTATTTTCGGTAGTTTTTCTGTGGCCACCTATACTATCAATAGGCATATGCTATACAACTATGAATTTATATTGTTTTGCCTGAACTATGGCCTAACTTGTCTACTGCTAGTCTATTGTCAATTTGCTGATTACAAGCCAATAGTCAATAATAATAATCACAATACAAATGATAAAAAAAACATTATCAATGATAGTCCAGACATCCAGATATGTCCCATAGAGAGGGCATCGTTCACATCGAAACTAACCTATCACTGGATGACCAGTTTGTTTGTCGGTAACTGGAAAAAGACAATCGATTTCAAGGATCTCTGGCCACTGCCCAGCACTGGGGGGTTCAGTACTTTATATAACTTTCAGAGTGTATTTCAATTTAATAATAAACTAAATCTCAATAACAAACTAACTACCAGTGAATTCATGGATACCAATGCTAATAAACAATTAGAAAATAACAAAAATTTTAATTTATTTGTACTAATTATAAATAAATTTGGACTAAAATTTTTACAACTATCGATAGTATTATTTTTATCGTTGGGCCTAAAATTGTGTCAACCATTAGTTGTTAAGTATGTATTTAATAATTTTTTAATTAACTATTTTTATTATTATTATTATGATATTAATTAATAATTATTATTATGATATTAATTAATAATTATTATTATGATATTAATTAATAATTATTATTATGATATTAATTAATAATTATTATTATGATATTAATTAATAATTATTATTATGATATTAATTAATAATTATTATTATGATATTAATTATAATATATTAGTTGTAAATTTTCATGTATGTTGAATTGAAATATATTATTATTAATTATTATTATTATTTTTTAAATTTTTTTTTATTGAATAATTATTTTCATTTTTAAAAAGATTATTCATTGCTTATGTAGACAATGATCAATATAAATGGCACGGTTATGTCTATACTGGACTACTGGTGCTCATGAATACCGTATCCGGTCTATTGAATGCCTATTATATACAAGCAATCAAATGTCTAGGTTTTTAGAAAAAAATATTTAATATTATTATTATTATTATTAGTTAATTATTTGTAATAATTATATACCAGTATTTAATTGAAATATTTTTTTTAATTATTTAAATAATTAAATAGCAATAAAAATCACATCATCGGTAATGTCGGCCGTCTATCGCAAGTCACTGGTGTTGAGTAACGGTGCCAAACGTCTGACCAGTTATGGCGACATAACTAACCTAATGGCTGTCGACTGTCAACGAGTTAATGGTTTATTAGTATATTAACTAATCCTATAATCCTATAATAAGTTATATAATATTTCTTTTAATTTTTTAAAATAAATTATTTTAAATAAAAGATTACTTTCAATGGTTGGCATACATAGTGGTAATACCGTTACATTTGATACTAATGACTGGTCTATTGTATATGGAGTTTAACTATACATCATTTGCAGGCTTAGCCGTAGTGGTTGTCATATTTTCGGTACAATACTATGTTATGAAAATCGGTGTCAAAATCGATAGCCAAGAGCTTATATATGCCGACAATAGACTGAATATTACTAACGAAATATTTAATGGCATTAAAATAATTAAAGTATTATTATTTTATATTATTATATATTATTATTATTATTTTATATTATTATTATTATTATTATTATTATTTTATATTATTATTATTATTTTATATTATTATTTTATATTATTATTATTATTATTATTTTATATTATTATTATTATTTTATATTATTATTATTATTTTATATTATTATTATTATTTTATATTATTATTATTATTTTATATTATTATTATTATTTTATATTATTATTATTATTTTATATTATTATTATTATTTTATATTATTATTATTATTTTATATTATTATTATTATTTTATATTATTATTATTATTTTATATTATTATTATTATTTTATATTATTATTATTATTTTATATTATTATTATTATTTTATATTATTATTATTATTTTATATTATTATTATTATTATTTTATATTATTATTATTATTTTATATTATTATTATTATTATTTTATATTATTATTATTATTCTTATTATTATTAATTTAGTTAATTAATAGTTAATTAATTAATTATTATTATTATTCATACTATAGTTATACGCCTGGGAACTACCATTTATGACAACAATATCCAAAATACGTGATCAGGAGTTACTAAAAGCCAGACAATTGTATCATATATTTTCAATAATATTTGTTATGTCATACATGTGTCCATTGATATGTCATTTAGTTATATTCAGTCTGTATTTGGGACTGAAATTTGCTGAACAATTAACGGCTGAAAAGATATTTTTTTCCATATCATTGATGTCAGTGTTTAAGGAAATCCTATCGAAGTTAGGCTATGTTTATAATACTGTCGGTATAGTATGTATAACCAAACAAACATATACTGTATATATATCTTAACTATTACTACTACTACTATTACTACTACTACTACTACTACTACTACTATTACTACTACTACTACTACTACTACTACTACTACTACTACTACTACTACTACTATTACTACTACTACTACTACTACTACTACTACTACTACTACTACTACTACTACTACTACTACTACTATTAAATTAATGATAATTAAAAAAAAATTAAATAATTAATTAAATATAAATATTTATTATTTTATATCAGATTTACGTATCGTTCAATCGTTTTAATGATTTTCTCAATTTGGATGAACATAACAACTATGTGAACACTGATAGGAATAATAATAATAATAATAATAATAATAATAATAATAATAATAATAATAATAATAATAATAATAATAATAATAATAATATGATTGATATAAATGGGGCAACACTTTCGTGGGACAAACCTAACGGTGAACCCATTGGTGACGATGATGTTATAAAAGACTATACATTAAATCAAATTGATTTGCATATCCGTGAGGGTATGTTTGTGGCCATAGTTGGCGATGTCGGCTCCGGTAAGAGTTCATTGCTGTCGGCTATTATCGGCGATATGGAACTAATTGAGGGGACAGTCAATGTTAGGCCGGGTGTTAATATGGCATACGTTCCACAACAGGCATGGATACAGAATGCAACCATCAAACAGAATATTATGTTTGGAAAGCCGTTCGATGAGGAACTGTATCACCGGGTTATAGATAGCTGTAGTCTTAGACCAGATCTAAGACAACTGGCCGGCGGAGACCAGACAGAAATCGGTGAGAAAGGCTTGAATCTGAGCGGCGGTCAAAAACAAAGAGTCAGTTTAGGTCGAGCCGTCTATTCCGGTGCCGATCTATACCTACTCGACGATCCACTTTCTGCCGGTATTTTAGTTATATATATACAGTATATTAGTTTTATAATAATTTTAAATAATTTTTTTAGTGGACAGTCATGTGGGCAAACATTTGATGACTAAAGTTTTGGACTCAAAAACGGGTTGTTTGGGTTCAAAAACCCGATTGTTGGTCACAAATCAATTGTTTATGTTAGCCGATTGCGATCTAATAATTGTCCTGAAAGCGGGTAAAATAGTATCGACCGGTACTTATGGACAGCTATTACTTGAAAGTAATTATTTTCAGCAATTGATTAAACAATATTTTAGTGATCGCTTAAGTAATGATAATAATAATGTAAATAAACTAAACATTAATAGTAGTGGTAGTAGTAGTAGTTTGAAGTCACCAACAGTTTTGAATAATAATAATAATAATACTAATAAAGTTAGTAATAATAATATTAGTGATAATATTAGTGATAATATTAGTGATAATATTAGTGATAATATTAGTGATAATATTAGTGATAATATTAGTGATAATATTAGTGATAATATTAGTGATAATAAAATTAATAATAAAACTTTTAATGACAACAACAATATAAGCAATATAAAAAATGATAATTTAATTGATGATAATAATAATAATAATAATGATAATAATAATAATGATCATGGTCAATTAATTGATAAGGAAAGTGCTCAAAGTGGACACATAGATATGAAGGTACTGTTTATTAATAATTAAAAATATATATATTAAAAATTATTATATTATTATATATTTTAATAGTTTTTTTTTAAATAATATTTTATTACAAACTTATATATATTTTTATATAACTATTTATATATATACAGTATATATATATATTAAATAAATCCATGTATAGTGTTATTATAAAATTTAAAAATTATTTTTAAATATATAATTAATGTTAATTAATTAATTTTTATCTAAACTATTTGGACTAATTTCTAATTTTTTTATATTTAATTTCAAATAAATATATATATATATATATATAGCTATTTATCAAATATATCCGATCCATAAACATAATGTTTTTGACTATTTGCCTACCGGTGCTCACATTGAACACGGCTGTCAACTATGGCCTAAACTTTTGGCTGGCCTACTGGTCGAAAAACATTACTACTACTACTACTACTACTACTAATAATAATAATAATACTAATAAATCACCAGGCTCATTATACTATATGTTAATATTTGCCTCAATGATACTGGGTCAATTTCTAATGCGTACAGCCTACCGATACTTGTACGCAGTGAGTATTATACGTACGTCCAAACGATTGCATAGGCAACTGTTGGCACGTGTTATGCACGCGCCCATGGAGTTTTTCGATACGACACCATTGGGCCGTCTATTGAATCGTTTCAATAAGGATATGTATCTGATTGATATACATTTGCCAGTTATGTTCAGGTAATTCAATTAAAAATAAATATTATATATATATATATATTAGGAGGGGAAGGGAGAGGTAGGGTAGTGCAATCTTAACCCTTCCCCACTCCCCCCACCGGTTGGGAAGGGGTGGGCTGGTTAAGGGTATGGGGAGTTATATACTGTAATATATATCATATATATATAAAGTATTTAATACATATTAATAAATGATTAGTTTGTAGTTTATATGTATAAGTTGTTTAAATATTTTTTTAATTTTTTAAATAATAATACTTTTTTTTATGTATATATATATATTAATACAATTAAACTAATTATTATATTTTGCAATATAATATATATATTGTTATATATATATATATATATATATATATATATATATATATATATGTATACACTATATATCATATAAATAAAGTATTTAATATATAAATGATTAGTTTGTAGTTTATATGTATAAGTTGTTTAAAAATTTTTTTTAATTTTTTAAATAATAATACTTTATGTATATACATTAATACAATTAAATCAATTATTATATTTTGTAATATAATATATATATTGTTATATATATATATATATATAATGTCAACTTATATTTATTTCTAAATTTTTTTTTTAATTTTTTGTTTTAGTCAATCATTAGACTATTTCCTACAACTCATTGGTATTGTTGTGTCGATTTCAATAATGACACCAATGTTTTTGATACCATTTATAGTGTCAGTAATTATATACTATTTTCTACAGGTATTTATACATTCAGAGAAAAAACAAACAAAAATGTTTACAATTGTTTTGATAATTTAAATTAATTATTATTAATTTTTTTTTGTTAAAATACAGTATATCTATATTAATGGATTATGTCAATTGAAACGGTATTTCTATAATATATCAATATATATATATATATATATATATATATATATATATATATATAAATATATATTTAATACTATATTTATTAATGATTAATAATATCAATACTTAAATAATAATACTAATAATAATACTAATAATAATACTAATAATAATACTAATAATAATACTAATAATAATCTACAAAACTTGCAAATATTAAAAAATAAATATATCAATTGTATTAATATTTATATATCTATTATAGTTTAGAGTCCATAAGCCGATCGCCAATATATTCACATTTAGGCGAAACATTGAACGGTGTGTCCAGTATTAGGGCCTATGATTGTATGGATAGGTTTATACGGGAATCGGACAATAGGATAGACAACAATACTAAGTGTCTCTATCCGTATATTGTGGCCAACAGTTGGCTATTGATTAGACTACAAGTCCTAAGCAATTTGCTTGTACTGTTTGCTGCACTGTTTGGTGTCATTGGTAGAGATAGTCTAACCGGTTCGGACATTGGACTGTCGCTCGCAAATGCTATTACTCTGACCGGTATTTTAGAGTATTTTATCGATTCATTTGCACAAACCCAGGGATATCTGGTATCGTTTGAACGGATCGACGAATATTGTAGTTTGAAAACGGAAACTGTTTGGCAATCGACTACTGATAGAAAATTGCCGGATAACTGGCCACAGATAGGATCAGTCAGGTTTGAAGGATATGGTACCAGATATCGACAGGGTTTGGATTTAGTGATCAAAGGTATCGACGTTGATATCAAATCTGGAGAAATGGTAAGCAAATGATAAGACAATTTAGTATCCAATGATAATTCAATGACTACTATATACATCTATATATTAATAGATAGGTATTGTTGGCCGAACCGGTGCGGGAAAGTCATCGCTAACACTAGCATTGTTTCGACTCATTGAGCCAGCAATGGGTCGTATAGTTATCGACGGTATAGATATCAGTCAATTAGGTCTACACGAGCTGAGGTCGCGGTTGACTATTATACCACAAGAACCGGTACTGTTTTCGGGAACTATTCGCTCAAATTTGGATCCGTTCGACAAGTTTACCGACGACGAACTCTGGTCAGTGTTAGATCAGTCGCATCTCAAAGAGTTTGTACTGTCGACTGATGCCGGTCTCGACCATCCGGTGACCGAATCGGGTGATAACATGAGTGTCGGTCAGCGACAACTTGTATGTCTGGCTCGGGCTCTACTCAGACACACGTCTATCCTTATCCTCGATGAGGCCACGGCTGCCGTCGATGTGGAAACCGATGCACTTATTCAGCAAACAATTAGACAATCATTTAAGTCGTGTACTGTCCTAACGATTGCCCACCGAATCAATACAATCCTTGATTACGATCGGGTGTTAGTCCTAAGCGACGGACGGGTAGCCGAGTTTGACTCACCCGACAAACTGCTTGACAACAGGACAACCATTTTCTACTCACTGGCTAAAGATGCCGGTGTTATATAATTTTTTAAAATTAATTTTATACTATTATTAATACTATAATTGTTTTTAATATAGACTAATATTTTACTTTATATTATTACAGTATAATTAATAATTTAATATTCAAATAATTTAAATTACTTTTAATTTAATCCAATAAATAATATTATATATATTTTTTAATTTGTTAAATATTTATTTTAATAATAATAATAATAATGCTTACTATTTGTTATTTTAATTATTATCAATATATAAATAGCTTATTTTTTTAAAAAAAAAACATTATTTTTTAATATAAAATATGTTATGTAAATAAAGTAATTTAGTTTATAGTTAAAAATATTATACTTATTACTAATTTCGATATTTTATTTAATATTAATCAATTAATTAATATAATAGTTATTTAATTTATTAATATTTTTATTTTATATATAAAAATATTTTATAACACTATAAACTATTGATTGAATATTTTTGTTTAAATATTAAATACAATACATTATTTAAATTTTACTAGTCATGTTTATGTTAATTAAATTTTTTTTTAGACAAATAACTAAAATAATAAAAAATATATTTAATAATTCAATAGTAAGTAAATATTTTAAAATTATTTTTTATTCAATAATTCTATAATTATAACTATTATTAAATATATATTTTTTTAAAAATTATTTTTCTGTTTAAAATTTAATATTTAAAATATATTTAAAGAGAATATACGATACATTATTAATAAAGTAATTATTATTATTATTATTATTATTATCTTTGTATATCACGGTTGTTCCGGTGTGATCACAGTTGTGTCGGCCACTTTTGGTGGCAGAGACACGACTGGTTAGACTCAACTCAAATCTAGTACTTTTCTGACTGTTCTACAACTCTGAAGTATCACTGCTTTTTGCATTTCATAGATCTTAGTTTTTCTGATTTCCAGTGATTCCAAACTTAGGGCCAGATTTTTCGGTATTACGGCCATTGATGACAGTATTATAGGTATTATTTCAACTTTCTTAATGCGCCACATCTTATTGATCTCATAGGCCAAGTCTGTATATTTCCGACGTTTCTCACTATGCGTGTCCTGTAATTTATGTGTTAGTGGGACCGCTATGTCTATTATATACGCCTTATCTTGATGTTTGTCTACTAGGACTATATCTGGGCGGTTGTGGGCCACAGTCTTATCAGTTCTTATTTCTTTATCCCAGTAGAGCTTGGCGCTGTTGTTTTCCATTACACTTTGTGGCTCGTATCTATAGTATGGTAATGGGTCTTTGATTAGTCCGAATCTTATTGCCAGTTCCTGATGTATGATCTTGGCTACTTGATTGTGACGGCTTAGGTACTCGGTATTTGTGAGTACTTTACACCCATTTAGTATATGTTCTATTGTTTCGGACTCCATATGACACATCCTGCACTTGTCTGTTGGTATGTTTAGCTTTTGGATATATTTCTGATGGTTACGGGTCGGAACCACTCGATCTTGTATTGCCATCATGAACCCCTCTGTCTCTCCGTGAAGACCGGCGTACTTCAGCCATTTTGTAGACATTTCTTCGTCTACGTGTGTTTGGTTGAGTTCTGCCCGGTATCTTCCGTGGAGTTCTTTTGAGGCCCATGTGTTAATCCTCTCTTTTTCATTTTGTATATCTATTTGATGTTCAATATTGCTGAGGTTTAGAGGTGTGTAGTTGTAATCGAGTGTTGATGTTATTTTGTGGAGCTCTGAGACATAGCATTTTTGTTGATGGTATTTTCTCAACAGTTCTCGCTGTTTGGCCTCAAGGCTTACAATGTTTAGTAACCCTCTACCCCCATGCTTTCTACTAACACACAGTCGTGCTACAGAACTTCTAGGGTGGTGTAGTCCAAACATTGTAAGTTGTCGCCTTATATGTCTTTCAATGGTCTCAAGTTCTGTTTTACTCCATTTTATTATTCCGAACGAGTATGTCAGTACAGGTATAGCCCAAGTGTTTATGGCTTTGAATTTGTTGTTTGAGTTTAGTTGAGATTTTAGTATTTTTATTATTCTTTGATTTAATGTTTTCTTTATTTCTTCTTTAACTTCTGTCATTTTAGATTTATGCATTTGCTTAATTCCTAAGTACTTATATATATCTCCATTTTCTAGTGCCTTTATATATCCGTTTTCAGTTTCGTATTGATTTCTTTCAGAATAGACTCCTCTTTTCAGTTTCATTATAGCACATTTATCTAATCCGAATTCCATATTTATATCATTGGAGAAAGTTTCTGTTGTTTTTAGCATTGCATTTAAATCAGATTCTTTTTCGGCGTATAGTTTTAAGTCGTCCATATATAGTAGATGTGTTAGATTATATTTTGTATCACTTGATTTTAGATTTACGCCTTTTAGCTTTTTAAGTAGTGATGACAGTGGGTTTATGGCTAAGCAGAACCACAGAGGACTGAGTGAATCTCCTTGAAATATTCCTCTATTTATTTTGATTTCTGTACTTATTTTTGTTCCATTATTTGTATTGACACACAATTTAGTATTCCATTTTTTCATCATATTTTCTAATGTGTTTATCAGTGTGTTGTCAATTTTATATAGTTTTAACACTCTTAATAACCATTTATGAGGGACTGAATCGAATGCTTTCTTATAGTCTATGTATGCCATTTCAAGATTTCTATGTTTTTGACGAGCTCTTATTGTTATGATATTGTCTATTGTTAATTGCTCTTTGCAGCCCATCGAGTGTTTTATACAGCCTTTTTGTTCTTCAGCTATTATGTTGTTGTTACTTAAATGATTATATATTTTTGTTGATATTATGGATGTTAGGATTTTATACATTGTTGTTAGGCAAGTGATGGGTCTATATTTGCTGGGATCTGATGTATTTTCTGTTTTTGGGAGTAGATATGTTATTCCGGAAGTGAGGAAGTCATCGGTTTGTCCTGTTTGTATTATTTTATTCATTGCTATTGCCATTGGTTGATGAACTGTTGTAAAGTGTTTATACCAGAAGTTTTGTATTTTGTCTTGTCCTGGGCTTTTCCAATTGTGGGATTTCTTGAGGGCTTCGGTTAAGTCATCTTTAATTATATTTACTGAAGTCATTTGTGGTATTTCTTTATTTTCATCTTCAATATCATTTATCCAATTAGATTCTTTATATTCCTTTGGGTTACTCCAGATTTCTTTCCAGTAGTTTTCTATTTCATCTATTTGTGGTGTATTGTTATTATTGCTTGAATTTATTTTATTTTGATTTCTATAGAACATTTTTTCGTTATTATAGTACATTGTATTTTGTTTTCGTCTTTCGCTTTGTATTTTATATCTTCTAATTCTTTGTGATAGTGCTTGAACTGTTTGTTTTAATGTGTCGTTGTAATTTCGGATTATGGATTCAAATTCAGGTTTTCCAGGTTTTGTCTGTAATGATCGGTATATATCTTTTAATGATTGGTTAAGTCTTTTTGATTTGTTTCCATTTAACACTTGCGTTATTCTTCCAATTATTTTTCTTTTCCCTTCTATCCGTGTCTCTATTCGCTTTTGCCATTTAGGTATTACATTTTCTTGATTTGGTTTTGTTGTATACATGTGTTCTATTTTGTAGCCTAAGAGTCTCGATACTGCTACTGCTGCACAATACGTTATTGTATTAATTGCGCTCAACGACATATTTTCTTCGATGTAATCTTTAAGTATATCATTTATCGTTATTATAGTAGATCTTGTTTTAATGCCACTTCTTATTTTTGGTAATTTAGGTCTGAATTCTATTTCAAAGTCTTTATATTGTTCTAAAGATGTTTTTAGTTCATTTTCTGCTGTTATTCTGTTTATTTCATCATTTTTATTGTTTATGTTATCTGTTGTTGTAGGTGTCTCTTCTATTTCTGGCACTACTTCTACTGTGGTATTTAATTCAGTTGTTTCATTTAATGATAGTTCATGTGCCACTTGTTGTTTGATTTCTTGTAATTCAATCGGAGATATTTTATTATTCTTTGCTAAGAATCGCCGTTGGTCTGCAATTCTTTGTTCCGTTACATTTAGTTCTGGATATTTTTGTTTGAATGCTAAGTATATTTGGTTTCTGTAATCAGTCATATTTGTTTCGAGTCGAGTTGATCTGTAGTATTCGCGCATTATCAAGGTATTCATCTCATGTGTCCATCTCATGCGCTTTTGCGATTTGTCAACCAAATTGGTCAGTTGTTGCTGAGAACCAGCTTGAACTGAAACATTTTGGAGGTTAGTCTGATTTTGTTGACTAGTCTGCGGTCGCATTACATCACAGCTTTGCCCGCATAGCACATCACTGCGTGGGATATGATGCATACTTAACGAACTGCAGTCAATGCCTACCTGCTGAACGCGGGATTTATTTGAGAGGGTACCTCCCGAACACCCCCCGTTATTCCTACGACTACGTGTAATCATATTTATATATTTTGTGGCCTTTTTACGGGGTCCCGGTCCCTAGAGAAAGCTCAACACTAACATGTGTCTATTGCCACCCATTTCTCACCACTAACATGTGTTTGTTGAAATAGGATTTTTTTTTTTTTTTTATTTTTTGAAACAAAAGTGGCCATTGCGTGTGAGGACGAGTAACTACTCGAAGGGTGAAGGGACATCCTTGCGGACGTCCCTTCGGGGTGGGGGCACCTTTTTACAGGCACCCCCGGGTGGGAGCACCTTGCGGGTACCCCCAGGTGGGCACCGATACCGAAGTACCGATACCCGGGTCGGGCAGAAACTCGTCCTCACTTAGCACCCCGCTTTCCCCATACTACTTAAGTTGGCCGTCCTAAACAGCGTTGGTTGGGCAGGGACGGGAAGCACAGTTAAAACAATTTTTTTTTCAGAAAAATTGCTTTACCACATCGGGGCTCGAACTATAGATCTTACTCTCCATTACACTACATAGCCCTACACACTAACCACTACACCACTGTGCCTCCTTTATTATTATTATTATTAATATTATTATTAATATTATTATTAATATTATTATTATTATTTTTATTATTATTAATATTAATATTATTATTATTATTATTATTATTATTATTATTATTATTATTATTATTATTATTATTATTATTATTATTATTATTATTATTATTATTTTTGTATATCACGGTTGTTCCGGTGTGATCACAGTTGTGTCGGCCACTTTTGGTGGCAGAGACACGACTGGTTAGACTCAACTCAAGTCTAGTACTTTTCTGACTGTTCTACAACTCTGAAGTATCACTGCTTTTTGCATTTCATAGATCTTAGTTTTTCTGATTTCCAGTGATTCCAAACTTAAGGCCAGATTTTTCGGTATTACGGCCATTGATGACAGGATTATAGGTATGATTTCAACTTTCTTAATGCGCCACATCTTATTGATCTCATAGGCCAAGTCTGTATATTTTCGGCGTTTCTCACTATGCGTGTCCTGTAGTTTGTGTGTTAGTGGGACCGCTATGTCTATTATGTACGCCTTATCTTGATGTTTGTCTACTAGTACTATATCTGGGCGGTTGTGGGCCACAGTCTTATCTGTTCTTATTTCCTTATCCCAGTAGAGCTTGGCTCTGTTGCTTTCCATTACACTTTGTGGCTCGTATCTATAGTATGGTAATGGTTCTTTGATTAGTCCGAATCTTATTGCCAATTCCTGATGTATGATTTTGGCTACTTGGTTGTGACGGCTTAGGTACTCGGTGTTTGTGAGTACTTTACACCCATTTAGTATATGTTCTATTGTTTCTGACTCCATATGACACATCCTGCACTTGTCTGTTGGTATATTTAGCTTTTGGATGTATTTCTGATGGTTTCGTGTCGGAATCACTCGATCTTGTATTGCCATCATGAACCCCTCTGTCTCTCCATGAAGACCGGCGTACTTCAACCATTTTGTAGACATTTCTTCGTCTACGTGTGTTTGGTTGAGTTCTGCTCTGTATCTACCGTGGAGTTCTTTTGAGGCCCATGTGTTAATCCTCTCTTTTTCATTTTGTATTTCTATTTGATGTTCATTATTGCTGAGATTTAGAGGTGTGTAGTTGTTATCAAGTGTTGCTGTTATTTTGTGGAGCTCTGAGACATTGCATTTTTGTTGATGGTATTTTCTCAGCAATTCTCGCTGTTTGGCTTCAAGGCTTACAATGTTTAGTAACCCTCTACCCCCATGCTTTCTACTAACACACAGTCGTGCTACAGAACTTCTAGGGTGGTGTAGTCCAAACATTGTAAGTTGTCGCCTTATATGTCTTTCAATGGTCTCAAGTTCTGTTTTACTCCATTTTATTATTCCGAACGAGTATGTCAGTACAGGTATAGCCCAAGTGTTTATGGCTTTGAATTTGTTGTTTGAGTTTAGTTGAGATTTTAGTATTTTTATTATTCTTTGGTTTAATGTTTTCTTTATTTCTTCTTTAACTTCTGTCATTTTAGATTTATGCATTTGCTTAATTCCTAAGTACTTATATATATCTCCATTTTCTAGTGCCTTTATATATCCATTTTCAGTTTCGTATTGATTTCTTTCAGAATAGACTCCTCTTTTCAGTTTCATTATAGCACATTTATCTAATCCGAATTCCATATTTATATCATTGGAGAAAGTTTCTGTTGTTTTTAGCATTGCATTTAAATCAGATTCTTTTTCGGCATATAGTTTTAAGTCGTCCATATATAGTAGATGTGTTAGATTATATTTTGTATCACTTGATTTTAGATTTACGCCTTTTAGCTTTTTAAGTAATGATGACAGTGGGTTTATGGCTAAGCAGAACCACAGAGGACTGAGTGAATCTCCTTGAAATATTCCTCTATTTATTTTTATTTCTGTACTTATTTTTGTTCCATTATTTGTATTGACACACAATTTAGTATTCCATTTTTTCATCATATTTTCTAATGTGTTTATCAGTGTGTTGTCAATTTTATATAGTTTTAACACTCTTAATAACCATTTATGAGGGACTGAATCGAATGCTTTCTTATAGTCTATGTATGCCATTTCAAGATTTCTATGTTTTTGACGAGCTCTTATTGTTATGATATTGTCTATTGTTAATTGCTCTTTACAGCCCATAGAGTGTTTTATACAGCCTTTTTGTTCTTCAGCTATTATGTTGTTGTTGCTTAAATGATTATATATTTTTGTTGATATTATGGATGTTAAGATTTTATACATTGTTGTTAGGCAAGTGATGGGTCTATATTTACTGGGATCTGATGTATTTTCTGTTTTTGGGAGTAGATATGTTATTCCAGAAGTGAGGAAGTCATCGGTTTGTCCTGTTTGTATTATTTTATCCATTGCTATTGCCATTGGTTGATGTACTGTTGTAAAGTGTTTGTACCAGAAGTTTTGTATTTTGTCTTGTCCTGGGCTTTTCCAATTGTGGGATTTCTTGAGGGCTTCGGTTAAGTCATCTTTAATTATATTTACTGAAGTCATATGTGGTATTTCTTTATTTTCATCTACAATATCATTTATCCAATTTGATTCTTTATATTCCTTTGGGTTACTCCAGATTTCTTTCCAGTAGTTTTCTATTTCATCTATTTGTGATGTATTGTTAATATTGCTTGAATTTATTTTATTTTGATTTCTATAGAACATTTTTTCGTTATTATAGAACATTGTATTTTGTTTTCGTCTTTCGCTTTGTTGTTTATATCTTCTGATTCTTTGTGATAGTGCTTGAACTGTTTGTTTTAATGTGTCGTTGTAATTTCGGATTATGGATTCAAATTCAGGATTTCCAGGTTTTGTCTGTAATGATCTGTATATATCTTTTAATGATTGGTTAATTCTTTTTGATTTGTTTCCATTTAACACTTGCGTTATTCTTCCAATTATTTTTCTTTTCCCTTCGATTCGTGTCTCTATTCGCTTTTGCCATTTAGGTATTACATTTTCTTGATTTGGTTTTGTTGTTGACATGGGATCTATTTTGTAGCCTAAGAGTCTCGATACTGCTACTGCTGCACAATACGTTATTGTATTAATTGCGCTCAACGACATATTTTCTTCGATGTAATCTTTAAGTATATCATTTATTGTTATTATAGTAGATCTTGTTTTAATGCCACTTCTTATTTTTGGTAATTTAGGTCTGAATTCTATTTCAAAGTCTTTATATTGTTCTAAAGATGTTTTTAGTTCATTTTCTGCTGTTATTCTGTTTGTTTCATCATTTGTATTGTTTCTGTTATCTGTTGTTGTAGGTGTCTCTTCTATTTCTGGCACTACTTCTACTGTAATATTTAATTCAGTTGTTTCATTTAATGATAGTTCATGTGCCACTTGTTGTTTGATTTCTTGTAATTCAATCGGGGATATTTTATTATTCTTTGCTAAGAATCGCCGTTGGTCTGCAATCCTTTGTTCCGTTACATTTAGTTCTGGATATTTTTGTTTGAATGCTAAGTATATTTGGTTTCTGTAATCAGTCATATTTGATTCGAGTCGAGTTGATCTGTAGTATTCGCGCATTATCAAGGTATTCATCTCATGTGTCCATCTCATGCGCTTTTGCGATTTGTCAACCAAATTGGTCAGTTGTTGCTGAGAACCAGCTTGAACTGAAACATTTTGGAGGTTAGTCTGATTTTGTTGACTAGTCTGCGGTCGCATTACATCACAGCTTTGCCCGCATAGCACATCACTGCGTGGGATATGATGCATACTTAACGAACTGCAGTCAATGCCTACCTGCTGAACGCGGGATTTATTTGAGAGGGTACCTCCCGAACACCCCCCGTTATTCCTACGACTACGTGTAATCATATTTATATATTTTTGTGGCCTTTTTACGGGGTCCCGGTCCCTAGAGAAAGCTCAACACTAACATGTGTCTATTGCCACCCATTTCTCACCACTAACATGTGTTTGTTGAAATAGGATTTTTATTTTTTTTTTTGAAACAAAAGTGGCCATTGCGTGTGAGGACGAGTAACTACTCGAAGGGTGAAGGGACATCCTTGCGGACATCCCTTCGGGGTGGGGGCACCTTTTTACAGGCACCCCCGGGTGGGAGCACCCTTGCGGGTACTCCCAGGTGGGCACCGATACCGAAGTACCGATACCCGGGTCGGGCAGAAACTCGTCCTCACTTAGCACCCCGCTTTCCCCATACTACTTAAGTTGGCCGTCCTAAACAGCGTTGGTTGGGCAGGGACGGGAAGCACAGTTAAAACAATTTTTTTTTTCTCAGAAAAATTGCTTTACCACATCGGGGCTCGAACTATAGATCTTACTCTCCATTACACTACATAGCCCTACACACTAACCACTACACCACTGTGCCTCCTTTTATTATTATTATTATTATTATTATTATTATTATTATTATTATTATTATTATTATTATAATAATACTACTACTACTACTAGTAGTACTAATGTTGGGAAATATGATAAATATTTGATTGCAAAAAAACAGTGATAATCTAATCTATCAATAATAGCATTGTTAAAACTAATAAATTTATAAAAGAAAAAATTAATATAAAACATTTTTATAATATTAAAAAAAACATTAAACAAATCTATACAGTATTATCCATATACTATTTGTATATAATTTAATACAGTATATTTACTATTGTATATTCAATTATTTTATTATAAGTTATTAAAAAAACAAAAACAAAATTTCTCATTAAAATTTTTAATTTTTATTAATTATTTTTTTTTTTTAAATAAACTATTTATATATTATACATAAAGTTTATTTTTGTTTTTGCATTAGTTTAAAAAATCAACAACAACTACAACAACCAAACAACCAAAAAAAATATGTTAAGCAATACATATACACTTAGAGGACATCGGTTTATGCAATTGATACCCGTAGCTAATGTTGAATATGCATTGGACTACAAACCCGAGGACAGGGATCGTATTCAGGTATCCTATCCGCGATCGGGTAGCAATTGGATACAATATATTATACAATTGATAGTCAGTGATTGCCAACAATTAAGTGGTTCACAACATGGCTACTATCTGTTTGAACGTACTGGTAGACAGTTGATCGACGATCAACAGGAGAACCTGGATGTTACTATACTGACTACACACCTACCCTGGAAACTGTTACCTAATAGCCCGGATAGTAGTCGGGCCAGATATTTGTTGGCCATCCGAAACCCGAAAGATGTTTGTGTATCGCACTATGAGTTTATGAAAGCTGCCCGATATTTACCGGATCAGATCCAGGAGTTTCCCGTATATTTTCGGGAATATTTTCTGGGCGGTGGCCAGTATCAGGATTTTGTTGGCGATTATTTCGGACATGTCCGCGAGTATTGGTCGGAATTTAGGAACGGTATGTCGGATACCGATACGGCCGGTGCCGACAATCATAATAAGTATACTATACTAATCTATGAACATATGGTCGACAATCCCCGTGAGGCTATCAAAACTATTGCCAAATTTTTAGGCAATAATTATTTCGATAGACTATCAATGCCTATGCTGTCAACTACTAGTGCTGCTGATGATGATGATAATGGTGTCGACACCTCAACCACCACCACTACCACCACTACTAACTCCCTGTCCTCTGTTGAGACACTATTGGATCGTATTGTCCGGCTATCATCTATTCAGGCAATGAAACCAAACTATTCGGGCGATCCTCGTATTAGTCGCGGTGTTGTCGGCAATTGGCGCCGTTATCTGACTAAACGGGAAAGCGATTTGATTGACCAGAAAGTAACGGATGAATGGCAGGGAACGGGTCTGGAGTTGTTATGGGAACAGGAGATGAAATGGCATAAAATAACAGATCATTAATAACAGATTTAATTAATTAAATAATTAATATTTTTTGAATTTGTTTTTTTAAGTACACATAAAAACTTTTAATTAATAAGTTTTTTTTGTCAATAAAAAATTAATTATGTTTCAAAATATTTATAATTAATTTATAAAATAATTGCTTAATATTAATTAATTAATAAATATTTCTAATATTATTATTATTATTATTATTATATTAAATGTAAAATCAATTTAAAAATGTTTGTTTTTTTTGAATTATTTATTAATAATAGAGTATATACTGTAAAATAAATGTTATAAAAAAATTATTTTAGTTTGATAATGATTTTTTTTAAATTATTTTTTAAGTAAATTAAATTATTATTTTTATAATAAAAAAACAGATAATCAAAAATTTTATTTATTATTGTATATCATTTAAAGTATTAGTAGTTTTAATTATATATATTTTTTTTTGTATTATAAACTATTGATTCAATTTTATTATTTATAAACTTATTATATTATATATTATAACATTAACATAATCATATTAAATAAAATTAATTAAAAAATTTAAAAAAAAACTTTAAAACTAATAAACTAAAATTTATAAATTAATTAATTTGTTGAAAAAATACTAAAATTAATAACTAATAAAATCAGAAATATTTATTAATTTTTTGTTTGTTTTTTTTGTGTGTAAACATAGTCTATAAAACTACATATAATTTTTAAATCATTGATAGAAATTCTAGTTTTATGATTATCTCTGAACTGTCCAAACATACAACTGGTTATAGTTTTGCCATTGATTTTCTGTACCCCACGAGAGCTCATACACATGTGTCTGGAAATACCAATAAAAATCAATAATTATATTCAAACTTATATATAATATGACACATACTTGGCCTCAACAACAACACCGACTCCTAAAGGACTGATAGCTTCAACCACTGTTTCGGCTATTTGTTTGGTCAGTCTTTCCTGAACTGTAAGACCAGAAAAATCAGTATATTTTTGTTTTGTTTTCATTACTATATCTATCTATCAGTAGGTCTTCCACCTATACCTTGCAGTCTTCGGGCAAACATTTCCACAATTCGGGCCAATTTGCTGAGTCCCAGCACCTTATGGTCGGGCAGATAACCGATAGACACTTTGCCATAGATGGGCACCAAATGGTGTTCACAATAGGAAAACATTTCAATATCTTTGACGACAACCATCTCATCGGTGTCTTCAGCAAACACGGCATCATTCAAGACATCATTGATTTTCAATTGATATCCATTAGTGAAATACAACAGTGCTTTCGCTGCCCTCTCCGGTGTCTTCAATAGACCCTCTCTTTCCGTGTCTTCGCCAATCGTTTCCAACAGATCTCTATAAATACGAGTCAATCGTTTCAATTGTGTATCTTTCGTGTCGTCCAAACCATCGTTTGCACCGTTAGTTTTTGCTACAGTATTATTGTTTGCATAAACAATATCATCTGTGTCTTCAACATTACTGACATTATTATTATTAATATTTCCATTGATTTCATAACCATTTTGTTTTAATTCATGATTTGAATGCTTTTCAAAGTTATTCAATGTTTTAATCATTTTTTTTATATCAGTAAAAAAAACTATAATAAAACTAATAAAGTTTTAATATCTAATTAAATCTTAAATAGTTTGTTTGATTTTTTTATTTAATTAATTAATTAATTAAAACTAATAATGAATATTAGCTTAAATAGGAAAATTTAAACACCTGTTAAACATATATTACAAAAAAAAATTAATTACCTAAATAATGATTATCTAAAAAATTTATAAAATTTATTAAACATAATTTATTTCGAAATATTTGATTAACAAAATAAAATATGACAAAAAATATATATTTTATTTAATTTTTTTGTTAGTTCACTAAAAAATTTTCAATGACCTAAACATGATTATCAAAAATTTTTTTTTAAAAAATGTAAATTTATTTAAGTAATTTAGTTTTTTTCCACACTCATTAAATATGTATTTTCTAGTGTTATGTTAATTATTTATTTTTTTATTGTAATATATTTTTTTTTAATAGTTATTTATTGTTTTAGCTAAAAAATTTAGTTAAAATATTTTTTAAGTTGTTTTTTCAATTAAAAAAAATTGTTAGTTCACTAAAATATTTTTTAATTGACTTAAACATGATTATCAAGAAAATTTTTATAAATGTAAAGTAATTATATATAATATATATATTATATATAAGTAATTAATTAATTTTTCCCCCTTATTAAAATATATTTCATTTACAAAACGTTTTGTTAGTTATTTTAATATCATATTTTAACTAAAAAATTTAAATATTATTTTTTGATATAAAAAAATTATAATACTTAATATATTAAGAAAATAAAATTAATAAGAAATTCATAATTGTTTTTTTTTTAAAAAAATAACATGGACACTTTTAGAAAAATAATTTTTATTTAGAATATAAATAATTACATTAATAATTATAATTATTGACCAAATTATTTTTTTAAACTAAATAAAAAACTGTTGGTTTTTTTTAATAATTAATAAAAAATAAAATAATATATATATATAAAAATATATGAATATGTTTCTACTAAATAATACAACAAAAACAACAATGAAAAAAAACAATTGTTTTATTTTTTGAAAAATTTTATTATTTAAATCATTGTTTTTTAAAATTAAATTAAATAAAATATAATTATATTTTAATTGCTTATTCAAATTCACCCGAAAAGGTGACAACATTTTTAATTAAAATCAAGTATAAAAACAAGTAATTAATTAAATAGCATATAAATTGCTTATAAATTGCTTATAAATTGCTTATAAATTGCTTATAAATTGCTTATAAATTGCTTATAAATTGCTTATAAATTGCTATACAAATTGCTTATTCAAATTCACCCGAAAAGGTGACCACATTTTTCTCCGTTGAATACAATTTGATTTGATGTAACCTAACATTTATAGGCAATCTCTCGGAAACGGCTTTCCATATAAAAAACACAATGTTTTCGACAGTCGACGAATGATTTTCATCCTTAAAATAGCTGACATCTTCATCGATAAACTTATGATCAAACGGTTTCAATATAGTATCCGACATAATCTGTTTGAGTACATAGTTATTACACAGTATACCTGTTACCGGATCGGCCGTTCCCTTAACAGTCAACTCTACCCGATAGTTGTGGCCGTGAATTGTATTACATTTACCGAACGTATCACGATTTGTCTTATCGTCCAATTGTCGGCTATGCAGACGGTGTGCCGAATCAAACGACTCGATACGGGTCAGGTATATAACCGGTTGTTTGGCTGCTTTGACTGCCGACATATTACTGTAAATTAATTAAAGTCAACAAAAAAAAATAATTAATAATTTAAAATAAAAAACATTTGTTTTTTTTAATTTGTATTATACTTATATACCAGTAGTTTAACTAATAAGTAATAATATTTAAATATATAAAAAAAAATAAATTATTTATTTAAAATACTTGTAGTTATATATTATTATATATATATATATATATACTGTAGTTATATAGTGATCACCGCTTATATAGCTATGTATGTCCTATTCAGGGTTTTAAAAATGGCAGGCATAAACAATAGATGCCAATTTTGCCAAATGCCTTCCCATGGGCTCTGCCATGCCCTGGGCCTATATTTTCAGGTGGTAACACCTATTATTTAAATTTTATATTATCAATTAATTTATAAAACATTGTTTTTATAATATATTTGCTTGTATTTTTTTTGTTTTGTATACCTTTAAATTAAAAAGTAATATCATTGGAAATAAGTAAATTAATTGTAAATTTAATTAACATGCTAAAACGCTAAGTTACATTATTTTTATTAATTTGATTAGTTGATTTTTAGCAATTTAAATTGGCAGGCAAATTTAATAGATGCCCTAGATGCCAGGCATTTATGGCATCTATTTGGTCATTGCCAGGGCAGGCATTTATTTTCTTAAAACCCTGGTCCTATTATATAGATTTTTTTTCCTGTGTAGTCATTAGCATATATACTTTGAATGTAGTGTTGATTTAGTTAATAAATTATTTATTTATTTTTATTGAAAAAATAAATACTTGAATAAATAAATAATTTGTAGTTAATTATAAAATTAATTTAAAATTAATAGTTTACAAATAATACTAAATAATATTGTTTACTAATAATAAATTAGTTTCTTTAATTAATTTAATTAAATAAGTACAGTTTTATTATATTATTATTATTATTTTATTAATTATTAACTTAGTTTTTTTAAATTTTTTTTTAAATATATGAGTCTATACATAGATATTTTGCTCACACACATATTATAGGAGTTGGCAAATAAATAATTTTATTTTTTTTAGAAAAAATTTGTATATCATATAATTTCTCATTTTTAATGTAAATTTTTTTTTGTTTAATAAATTATATGTAATTAAAATTTTTGATATACAATATTTTATTTATTCAATAAAAATTAATTAACAATAATAATAATATTAATAATAATAATAAAAATTTATACATAAATTAACTAGAAACAACTAATAATTAATAGTTAAAAAAAATTTTTGTAATGCAAAACTAATTTTTTAAATAGTTTTTTTTATTAACATTAAAATTAATTAAAATTACACTATATATATACAGTTGGTATATATTTATATAAAACATAACTAATTATTTAATTAAATTAAATAGTATTAATTATATTTCAATTAAAACAATTATTATTATATTATTTTTAATTAAAAATTGCTTTAAAAAGCAATTCAATTTAATTTTTATTAATTAATTAAAATTTTTTTATAAACAAATGCTTTCAATAGTTTCAAAAAAAATAATTTTAATAATACAATCAAATAAATTTTTATATAACTTTTAAAATTGAAACCTAATATATTGATAGACTGATAGCCCTAACTAACGGTCACCAGAGGACAGCATATTTATTACCTACTTGTGCTCATAACAGTAGCCTATAATATACATGTCTATACTAATGCTTATAATAATATATAATAATAATTATTAATTATTATTATTATTTATTAAGTAAAATTAATTTATTATTAAGAATTTAAGCTATAAATTATTAACATAAAAAAATATATATATAATTTAAATATAATTTATTTTTTATATAAACTTTTAAAACTGTAAAAAAATACAAACAGAAAAAACTAAAATTCAATAATTTATTCATGAATATTAAATGATTTATATATAGATATTTATATAGGTTTTATAAAGTAATACATTGAATAATATACTATAATTTTGTTTAAAAAAAAAAAAATTTTATTCAACAACAACATCAAACATTTAAATAAAAAGTTAATTAAAAAAAAATAAAAATTCAAACAACAAAAAATAATATTTATAATAATCAAATAAAATTAAACAATTTTTTTTTTGATTAACATATTTAAATTAAATATCAATATATTATAATTATGTTATGTTATAATTTTTTTTTTAATTATTTTAACTATAAAAGTAAAAAATAGTATTCAATTTTGTTGGCGTTTTTCAACCCTAACGCAAACATTTTTCGGTGTCATTATACCAAACACTTGATAATTATAAAACTCCAGTGGTTTCTGTAAAATATTAGATAATTTTTGTTTTTTTTAAATAAAAAAAAAGTTAAGTTATTTATAATTAAAATCAAAAACTAAAATTAAAAACAAATTAATAAATAAATGAAAATATTCTTAATATATGTTAATGAATTAAATATAATTAATTAATTATTTTTTCTAATAAATTTATTGAATAATAATTAAACTGATTGCTAATATAATAACATTTAATTTATTAATCAGATAATAAATTTTTTAAATAAAACTAATAACTGTCTGTATATATATATATATAATATATATGAGTGTGTAGTTTATGTATGTGTGGTGTATGTATGCATATGTATGAGTGTGTAGTTTATGTATGCATATGTATGAGTGTGTAGTTTATGTATGCATATGTATGAGTGTGTAGTTTATGTATGCATATGTATGAGTGTGTAGTTTATATGTGCGTAAGTATGTATGTATGTGTGCGTATGTATGAGTGTGTAATTTATGTGTGCGTATGTATGAGTGTGTAGTTTATTTATCCATATGTATGAATATGTAGTTTATCTTTGCGTATGTATGAGTGTGTGCTTTTTGTGTGTGTGTGTGTGTGTATGCTATAAGTGCATGTATGAGTCAGTAGTCATTACCCCAGTACTGTAGAACTTATATCTGTAGACAGCGTTAATAATGGCCAGTTTGATGACTATCTGTGCCAATCGCATACCGACACAATTACGCGGTCCGCCGCCAAACGGCAGATAAGCGTAGGGATTGACCTGTTTGGACGTTTGGTTTGCTTTGGAAAACCTTTCCGGACGAAACTGTTCCGGTTCTGGATATAGGGCACCGTCGTGTTGCATAGCATAGTTCAATATGTGAACTAACTGTCCTTTTTTGATACTAATACCGTTAGGTCCACCCAATCGGTAGTCTTCTCCCGCTTCCCGTTCCAAGGCCTGTGAATTGGGATACAGTCGTAGAGTTTCTTTGATAACTGAGTCCAAGTATTCCATTGAATTCAGGGCCTCGTAGTCAGTGACCTCCTGTTCCTATATATAGAGTATATTATAGATAATTGTGTGCATATATAGTACAGACAGACAGAGAAAGACAGAGAAAGACAGAGAAAGACAGAGAAAGACAGAGAAAGACAGAGAAAGACAGAGAAAGACAGAGAAAGACAGAGAAAGACAGAGAAAGACAGAGAAAGACAGAGAAAGACAGAGAAAGACAGAGAAAGACAGAGAAAGACAGAGAAAGACAGAGAAAGACAGAGAAAGACAGAGAAAGACAGAGAAAGACAGAGAAAGACAGAGAAAGACAGAGAAAGACAGAGAAAGACAGAGAAAGACAGAGAAAGACAGAGAAAGACAGAGAAAGACAGAGAAAGACAGAGAAAGACAGAGAAAGACAGAGAAAGACAGAGAAAGACAGAGAAAGACAGAGAAAGACAGAGAAAGACAGAGAAAGACATAGAAAGACAGAGAAAGACAGAGAAAGACAGAGAAAGACAGAGAAAGACAGAGAAAGACAGAGAAAGACAGAGAAAGACAGAGAAAGACAGAGAAAGACAGAGAAAGACAGAGAAAGACAGAGAAAGACAGAGAAAGACAGAGAAAGACAGAGAAAGACATAGAAAGACAGAGAAAGACAGAGAAAGACAGAGAAAGACAGAGAAAGACAGAGAAAGACAGAGAAAGACAGAGAAAGACAGAGAAAGACAGAGAAAGACAGAGAAAGACAGAGAAAGACAGAGAAAGACAGAGAAAGACAGAGAAAGACAGAGAAAGACAGAGAAAGACAGAGAAAGACAGAGAAAGACAGAGAAAGACATAGAAAGACAGAGAAAGACAGAGAAAGACAGAGAAAGACAGAGAAAGACAGAGAAAGACAGAGAAAGACAGAGAAAGACAGAGAAAGACAGAGAAAGACATAGAAAGACAGAGAAAGACATAGAAAGACAGAGAAAGACATAGAGACAGACAGTCCATACGTCCGATTGATTGCTAAAATAGTTGACCACTTCCTCGTACAGCCGTTGCTGACAATCGGGATTTGCGGCCAACAAATAAGTGATTATCGATAGAGTAGTTATCGTATTCTCAAAGCCGGCCACAAAAAACACGACACACGAAGCTATTAGTTCATCGTTTGATAGATCTGTTTAAAAAAAAATCATAATTAAAAACAAAAATAAAACTAATAAACAATATATATATATATATATATATACAGATGTATATCTAGAAATCCATACATTTTTTAGTTACATTACTATTATTAGTTTGCTTATCATATTCGCCATACTTTTCGTCATCCATGGTATTGGTATGTGTGGTGGTGTTGGTATTGTCCATCATATCATCCATGGATTCATTATTATTACTATCGGCCGAATCCAACATCAGCTGCAAAAAGTCGACCCGTTTTTTACCGTACCGTCCATTAGGGTTAGCGGCTATTTGTTTCATCAGATTTCGCCGATCGGCGATGACTTTCAATGTAAAATCGTGAAAAAATTCAATAACCGACTCATCGAATACGGATAGTTGCAAATAGTCGGCCAGTTTCGGCAAAAACATTACCGTCAGATACAGTGACCGAAACTCGTGGGCCAACAGTTTGCCGGCATTCAGGATAATTGGGTTATCTTTGTCTAACATGGCGTCGACTTTTACACCAAACGATACCTTAAAATTTATAATTAATATATATATATATATATATATATATATATATATATATATATATATATATATATATAAGTTATATTAATAATAATAATAATTGTAATAATAATAGTTAGATTAATATTAGCTATTAGTATAATAATAATAATAATAATAAATAATAATAATAGTTATATTAATAATAGCTCTATTAGTATAATAATACTATTAATGTAATATTAATTGTAATATCAGTGAAAATAATAATAATAATATTCTGTATTATAATTTTTACTATTATTTATTTATTTATTTTTTTTTTAAAAATAGTATAATATTGTAAAAAAAATTCAATTAATTAAATTTTTTTTAAAAAAAGTTTATGACTGTATATTATATGGTATATACAGTATATTTCTATCTATTTTAACACCTAATATATATACAGTATATGTATGTATTTAGTTTGTAAAAGTTACCTGATAAATTTTTTAAATAATTTTTTTTCTGACATTTAAAAAAATCAATCAATCAATTAAATCAAACCTGTAGTATGACTTCCATAGTATAGCCACAGTAAACGGTTTTCATATCGTAAGGCTGGCCAGTTTCCAGTGAAGCCGTTTCAAGCATACAGTTCAATGTTTTGAGACAATCGGTAATCAATGGCAACATTTTGCGTAACTTTCCCGATGTAAATGTCGGCGATATGACTGTCCGCACGCGTTTCCAGTCGTCATCTTTCAGATTGGCTATCATTTTGTTCATCAGAAAGCCGGCCCTTACGTCCTAATTATAGTATAAATTATTATATAATTATTAATTTTTTTATTTTAATAAATACTTTAATTATATATATATTGTTATTATTATTATTATTATTATTATTATTATTATTATTAGTATTAGTATTATTACTCTCTGTCTCTCTGTCTCTCTGTCTCTCTGTCTCTCTGTCTCTCTGTCTCTCTCTCTGTCTCTCTCTCTGTCTCTCTCTCTGTCTCTCTCTGTCTCTCTCTGTCTCTCTCTGTCTCTCTCTGTCTCTCTCTCTGTCTCTCTCTCTGTCTCTCTCTGTCTCTCTCTGTCTCTCTCTGTCTCTCTCTGTCTCTCTCTGTCTCTCTCTGTCTCTCTCTGTCTCTCTCTGTCTCTCTCTGTCTCTCTCTGTCTCTCTCTGTCTCTCTCTCTGTCTCTCTCTCTGTCTCTCTCACTAAAAGTGTATATACTGTATATAACTAACCCGTCTATTAGTAAAAACATGAAAATCTTTGACCAAAACATCCCGTATGAGTTCCGGATCGGCCAAATAGAGTACGGGTCGGTTACCCTCATAGACACCGAAACATTTACCATATTTTCGGTACAATTCCTGTTCCAATCGATACCATTTGGTTGTCATACGAGTCCACAAACCAAACGATACAGTTTTAACTCCCTGTGCTTCCCAATGATTGCATCCATTAGTACTGTAATAATATCTATTGAATATATATATGAAAAAAAATATTATTTTTTTAATTAATATATTAATTATATATTTTTTTATTATTTTATTTTCTCTCTCTCTCTCTCTCTCTCTCTCTCTCTCTCTCTCTCTCTCTCTCTCTCTTTCTATACTAACCTATAGATAGCATACAAAATGCTAAATAGTATTAAAACAATAGTTAACGGATTTAATGATAATATAGTAATATTATTATTAGTTAGATATTGTAACATAATTTTTGTTATTGTTTGTATAGATAATTATTTTTTAATAAATAAATTTTTACAAAACTATAACCAAAAAAATAAAATAAAATAAATAATTATTATTTAAACAAATTATTAGACAAATCTCAAAAAAAATGTTTAGTGTTTTATTATTATTATTATTATTATTACTGTATTCAATACTGAATAAAATAAAATATAATACTAAACTTTTTCAAATATTATATATATATATATATATATATATTTTATATATTATATATTTAATAAAAAAAACTTTATTAAATATTTGTTTTTCATTAGAGATATTAATAAAATATTTAATATAAAAAAAACCCGAAAAATATAAACCAAAATAATTATATATTTTTTGCAAATCTAATTATCTAAAAAAAATTATTATAAAAAAAGATACAAATAAATTATTATTGACTATACTAAATTTTTAAATCACTATTATTATTATTATTATTATTATTATTATTATTATTATTATTATTATTATTATTATTATTATTATTATTATTATTATTATTATTATTATTATTATTATTATTATTATTATTATTTATTATTATTATTATTTATTATTTTAATATAAATGATTCAATATAAATTTTTAATAAAAAAAACCAAAAACCGTTAATAATTTTTTTTTTAATATAAGATTACTTGGACTCTAGTTATCAATTTTTCCATATATTTACAAATGTTTACAATATGTCTATGATTTAGCAAAATAGCTATAATTTTTTATTGTTATTAAGTCATGTATTATTTTTTTTATTATCTGTAATATCATTTTCATGAGACAATATTTTAATTATTTATTTATCCTAAATATTTATGAAAATTAATTTAAATTTTTATTAGTATTATTAAAATATATATTATTTATTGCTTATTAAATTAATTTTATTTAATAAGCAATAGATTAATTATAATATAGATGTATATATAATTAATAAAAATATTTATAATAAATAATAGATTATTATTTATATGTTGTATATTAAAAAATAATAGTTTATTTTTTAAAATTTTTTTTTATAAAACGTTGGGTTAGATCAGATTCCCTCCCTCGTCTTATTTTCCATAAGTTCCTTATATTCCCTGTTCCCTGGGAAGACATTTCCTTGTGGTACCACCTATCGTACCCTAACTCACATTACATGAATTTATTTATGTTTAATTAAAAACACGTTTGTATAGTAAATGTCTACAAAATGTATTTAATGTTTTTATTAAATGTTTAATAATATTTGAATCATATTTTGATTGAGTTATTACTAACATAATGGTCCCAATTGAAACACATAGGCATTGAGATTAGG